GGTGTGATGCTGGATGGAGACTGGATGGAGACCGACCAGCGCGCCGTCGGCTAATGCCTGTCGCCAGCGCTCCGCCGCCGAAGCCCAGCGCACACGCCCCAGCTCTCTCCACAGCGCCGGCGATCAACGACGCCGGAACATGGCGAATTGCTGTGGCGACTAGGCCCGTCACGAGCGGCGTATCGCCGTGGTGGCTGACATCAAAGTCTTACATGTCATGCTCGCGCCATCGATAACTTCGTATGCAGCGCCCGCGCCGCGCCTGCCCCAACCGGGGCCAGCGGGTCCTCCACAACGCCCTCGACTGACCGCGCCCTCTCCCGCTCTGCAGCGCGCCCCCGGCCACGCTTCGCGCTCAGTGCGCCCGCCCACAGCCCAGCCCGCCTCAAGCGAGCATGCACGCAACGTGCGCCGCGCCGTCATCATGCCATACGGGCTGCATAATCTCCTGCCGCTGCGTTTTATCCGCACGCTCGTCGAGCTGCAGCAATGATCTGCCCGGGGGCAGCGGGGGGAACGACGCCTCCCGTTCCGATGCATGTCAGGTTATTTAGCCAGCCTGCGCAAGGGAGAAAACGGAAAGTGGCCATTGCTGCGGATATGATGAGAATCGTCCGAAGCCCACCCCCCCTCCAACGCCCGCCGCCCCGAGCGAGCGAGGCTCCACCGCTCCGCCCAGCAGCTACCGCGACCACCTGGGAGCACCCTCGAGTGCTAAGCCCGTGTTTAGTCAGAGCGCCAGCGCGAGCTCCTGGCCTGCTGGGCTGCTGGGCTCCTGGGCTCCTGGGCAGACCTCCCGGCCCGGTGCGGCAGACTGCCGCCCGGTGGCCGCGATGCGGCGGCTTTGGGGTTGGAGATAGGGCTGAGCCGCATCGACGTCCTCCATCGTGGCACCCATGCCCCAGAATTGCTTTTTCGCCTTGAGCTTGTTTCTACCAAAGCCACATGTACATGTACCACCAGCTCCAGCCTCACCGATCCAGTGCGAGGTGTGAAGGGCTTGCAGGCCGCTGTGTTTCGGGCGCTGGTCAGCGCCTCCACCCCGTTCCCCAGATGCTGGTTCTGCTCGCCCTGCCGCCGCCGACCACCGCGGAGCGCCTACCAAGCCCCTCCTCTCCGCGGAAGCCCGCCGCCGCGCGGCTGCCCGGCCTATCGGCAGCCTCGAAACGAGATCGATCTGCTTAACTCGCAGCTGCAGGCTGTCGCTGCCCGCCGCGACATGGGTGCGCCCTCGATCTCCGGGTCCTGGGCCATAGGGTCCAATGGCATGCCGCCCGGAGGGGTCGCCGCTGCTGAGGGCGCAGCGCGAGGGAAGGGAGCGTGACCAGCCCGAGCAGCTCCTCCTTCTAGAAGCCCGCGCGGAGAGGCTGCAGCTCAGGGCATGCGGCCCGCTCTTTGATCCGACTCGCCGTGCCCGCGGCTGGCGTGCCCTTGAGGCCACCCAATAGAAAGATCGTGTACCGGACGCGGGGCTGCGAGATATCTACCGACGGAGAGCGTCAATCAGGTTGAGCCCAGCTACGGTTCCGGAGGGGGAGGCGTGGGCGGTGTGCTGGACATGTCTTTTTAGCTCAATGCTCTGCCTTCTGCCCGGCTGTGCAACTCATCTCCCCTGATGTCCCTTATTTCGTCCGCCGCTCCCTCGAGCGGTTACGCGTCGACCTGTGGAAGATGTGCGCCCGTCACTCCACACCGGAGATAGCGCTTGAGGACCGTCCCATCCACATCGGGCACTACGGCGCCCTGTCGTCTGCTAATCCTCTCGTAGAAGCCGTCCAAAATTAGCAGAAGTTCATTCTCTTACTGTACCGACGCGGAGATGAGGAGTTTGTGGAAAGTACCGATGTCAATCCCGCGCGCTTTGAGCACTCCGCAGTGCCAAGCCGAGAATAGCATCCACACCGCGATTGCTGCTGTACTTTAGCCCCTGAGCCCAGAACATTGCCAACAGGCAACAGCGTGGTTCCATAGACGTGTCTTCGTATCGACCCCATCGCCAACGACTCAACATGCTGGCCAGACCTCTCTCTTGCTGGTGCGGCTTGGGCGCTTGCATAAGGGATCGACAAACACACCTGCCCTCCCCGTCGCTGTGAACAAGCTGATGACAATTTGCTCTAGCTCACCTCGCAATGGCTGGCTCCCCCCACCCGTTCCAGTCCTTCAGAAGCCAACGGTGAATAACGCAAGCGCTCGCCGTTCGTGGGAAGATGCGTCCGTTGGCGTTCCATGCCGGTACTATGGGGACAGGAGGCCGCGACTCATTGCCGAGATTGCGGTATGACGTCTCTTCGACACATCTTCATTCTCGTTTCTAATACTCTTCTCTTCATGTTTCAACGCCGAGTGCTACTATTCGATGCCGTCGAGCTGGCTGATGACATGAGACTCCAGAGGTAATTAGACAATCGAACGACAGTCCTCGTTTCCGGTCCGCAACGCCATTCGGCCAGACTTCCGATGCCCTGCTGGAGGGGTTCCATGTTGACTGCGGGCCTATTTGTCTCGATCAATCTATTCTTTCGACCTCTAATTGCACGCTCGGGTCCTATTGGTCCATTTCGCTTCTCGGTTTTCCCGGTACTCGGTGGAGCATGATCAAGAAGGCAATCCACCGGGTGCCTATTCGTCAAGCTGTCCAATTTCCACTCAGCGCTCGGTATCTCTTTTCGTCAAGAACCCCGAACCAAGTAGGGGTTGCGCGTCCCGAAACGACAGCCAGAGAGCCGTACGAGCAATGCAGCACCCGGGGATTCGGGGTAATGAAAGAGAACCTGGGACAGGCGCGTGTGTGATGTCAACGGGAGTGGAGGACGACGGTCTGGCCGGTGGGGATGACGGATGGGGTGGGCACGGGAGGGTACAGAGCCATTGCCCATGCCGTTCGGTGGCTCGGCATCTGAGGTCGTCCTCGTTCTCGACCAGCGAGAGCGGAAGCATCCAGGTCCGTCAGATTGCGGCGGGGGTGCCGTCCCGCATGTGTGTGGGGAGGGTGGCGGCTCGAAGAGTACCGCGGTGGTCGGACGCTTTCCATTGGACGTTGGGCAAGGCTCGACACCCTGCCGGATATGTTCTCGCACCTGGACGGTTCTTTCAAGTATCTATGGTTGGGTTGCTTGCACGACGCAACGCTACGTGGAAGGGGCTCGTCCGGCGGAGAGCATCAGCCCTGCTGCCAGCCAGCCCCTAAAGGGGAAGGAGGGGCACGGAGGGTTTACGGAGGGGTGGTTAGTGCGTAGGGTGGTGCGGATAGGAGGGGAGAGATGGAGAGCGTGTGGCGAGCACCCGACGCTGCCGGTCTGCGGGCCCAGCAAGCCATCGGCGGTACCTAGTGACTTGCTCCTCCGTACCTCCTATCCGGGAGCCAGACGCTGCCATCCGAGGTTGGGCTGCATTGGGGGTGGGCCGGATGGATGGAGACATGGAAATTGACGGCGGCACGGACGGGGCTCCAGTAGCGAGAGGCGTGCGCGATTGCAGCGCGAGCATTGTGATAGAAAGCAAAAAGCGTGAAAGTGGTGTGTGGAAGGGCGATGGTGACTGTCGCGCAGAACCGGCATCTCAGCTAGGGTCTTGGCGCCCGAGGCGCTGGAATGGTTTTCCCTTCGGGCGTGCACGGCAGAGTTGACCTCAACGCCCACGGAGCACGCAGCCTCATCCACCCTCGACACCACCCCATCTCCGCTCCTCCATCGCCGCCGCCATGTCGCTCGCTGCCTCCCGTGCCGTGCTGCGGCAGTCCCGCTTCGCCCTGCGCCGCCCCGCCGCGCGCCACGCCTCCAACACCTCCGAGGCCGCGAAGGAAAAGGCCGCTCAAGCCACGTCCAAGGCCTCTGAGGGCCTTGCCCGCGCGAGTGCGACCGGCAGCGCTGCTTTCGCGAAGGCCTCCCAGTTCGGCGGCGCCGCTCTGCAGCGTCTGGCATCCGCCGGCGGCCGCACGGCCAAGGTTGCGGGCTTCGTCCAGTGTAAGTGCGCTCCGTGTGATTTACAGACTCGGCGTGCAAATTGGCATGTGCCATTCCGCGGGCTTATCTTGGACGGCACCATGCCATTGCGACTGCATAATTGGCGCTTCCGATGGTGTTCTAGATGCCTGCAGCTTGCGTGTCAGTCGGCGGTGCTGCAGGCGCGTCCAAAGTCGCCATTGTTCCCGCATGCCTGCGTCCACCCGTACTGACAGGCGTTCCCCGCAGCTCTCATCCCCCCGACCGTCTACTACTCGCGCGTCACGCTGGAGCTCGGCAAGATTGTCTTCCAGGCCCGCAAGATGAGCCCTCCGTAAGCAATGCCCAGACAGCCCTGAGATGGACCATACTCATCGACCCCTGCAGGTCCACGCAAACTTTCCAGGCCTACTTCCAGCCCCTCATCAACACCCTCAAGAACCCCTCTCAAATCTCCGGCCAGACCTCCAACCTCCTGGCCCGTGTCAGGAACGCGAACAGGGCGGAGCTCGCGTCTGCCGGCGTCGTTGCCGCGGAGGTTCTTGGCTTCTTCACTGTTGGCGAGATGATTGGCCGCATGAAGATCGTTGGCTACAGGTCAAGCGCGCCGGCCCACCACTAAAGGGTGAAGCCGACTGCGATGGATGGTAGACAAGTCAGCTGTCAGTTGGAAGCAGGCGCAGACGGGGTCGGGGACGGGTGGAGAGTCGAAAACAGGCGGCAAAAGTCGTATAGGAAGCCGTTGACTAGAGGAGCACACCTTGTTCCACGGAGCAAGGCATTGTACTACATGCACATATGCTGCTTCTAGATTTTATCCATTTCCTTTGTATTTTTACATCAATTGGGCCATTGCTACACGCCCGTGAGCTCGAAGCTTGGTGATATAGGCGCACGTGATGGCGTGAAGCTTTGACAGCGCCGATAAGTTATTTTTTTTTCGATAGCGGAATTATTGCGCCGCCAACGCTTGTCGGTACCGCAAAATTATGCATCGCCACCACTGATCGCTCGTAACTCCGTCACGTCTGGCCTAAACTCACGACATCTCGAGACATGGACTTCCTCAAGGTGCTCTCGCGCGGCACCAACGTCGGCAAAGGCGCCGCGAAGAATGCGCCCGCAGCGAAGACGCCGTCCAGCGGCGCGACCGCAAACCCGCAGCTTTTCGGCCGCGACGCGACCAACGACGACCGGGCCCCGACGCCTGCTACACGATTGAAGACGAAGAAGCGCAAGAGAGGACAGAACCATGTCGCCGAAGCAACCGTCGACCTGCCGCCCGAACTCGATTTTTTCGGCCATGGGAAGCGGGAGGACAAGATAACGGGGCCCGAAGCAGCGACAGAGGCAGACGCGGAAAAAGACAAGAGTGAGGCGAAGGAAAATCAGGCCGAGGCTGAATCTGCTGGTGGCATGGAGCCGATGACGGAAGAGGAAAGCAGGCGCATACTGCGCTCGCACAAGGTCAAAATCACCCTGCTGGAGGACTACAAGGCGCAAGAGGCGGAGCAGAAGGCGGCGGAGCGGAAATCTAAGAAGCGCAAGAAGGCGAAGGAGCAGGAGGTATCGCAGCAGAAGAAGGGAAAGGTCCAGCTGTTCCCGCAACCGCTCACGTCCTTTGGCCAGCTGAGATCGCGGTTCAACGTGAACAGGAGACTGGCGGAGAACATCGATGCGCAGGGCTATACCATGCCGACAGAAGTGCAGCTTGCCAGCCTACCATTGCTGTTGGATGCAGCGGACCCGGAGGGCAACGGACTTGATCTTTTGACGGTTGCGCCAACTGGCAGCGGGAAGACGCTGGCCTTCCTGATTCCCGTGGTCGAATCACTTTTGCAGAGGCGTAAACAAGCACGCAACGGAAAGGATACACCCACAAAAGAAAACGAGGGTGTTCAGGCAATTGTTCTGGCCCCCACTAAGGAATTGGCCAGTCAAATCGTCAACGAAGGACGGAAGCTCAGCCTGAAGACAGGAATCAAGGTTTCTCTCATGCGTAAAGGTATGGAGGTCTTGGAAGGATCTGCGGAAGACGATTCCAAGCCGGAAGACGATGACGACGGTTCCGAGGGAAGCGACAGTGAGAGCCAGGGCGACTCGGCCTCGGACGATGAAAAAAGCACCAAGGCGACAAAGAAGCGCAAGCGAGGCCAGCTGGTTAAGTCTGATATCCTCGTCTCAACGCCCCTTTCTCTACTGCACGCACTCCAAGTCGCGGGAAAAAAGACAGGCACCCTCCCATCTGTAAAGTACTTCGTTTTGGACGAAGCAGACGTGCTACTCGATCCTCTATTCCGCGACCAAACCCTGGCCATCTGGAACGCTTGCACAAGCCCGCTGCTGCGGGTCAGTCTCTGGTCAGCCACCATGGGATCCAGCATCGAGGACCTCGCAAAGGCCACCATCACTTCCCGCTGGACATCCCTCGCCGCCCCCTCCTCCACCACCCGGCCCAACCTCGCCCGCCTCGTCGTCGGCCTCAAAGACTCGGCCATCCCCAACATCCACCACCAACTCACCTACGCCGCCACCGAACAAGGCAAGCTCCTCGCCATCCGCCAACTCCTCCACCCCACCGCCCCCTCGTCCTCGTCCTCGACCCCGACCCTCCGCCCGCCCTTCCTCATCTTCACCCAAACCATCCCCCGCGCCCAGGCCCTCCACGCCGAGCTCCAATACGACATACCCCCCGAGGCGGGCGGCTCCGCGCGCATCGCCGTCCTGCACTCGTCGCTCTCGGCGTCGCGCCGCGACGGCGTCATGGCGCGCTTCCGCCGCGGCGACGTGTGGGTGCTCATCACGACGGACCTGCTCGCGCGCGGCGTCGACTTCCGCGGCGTCAACGGCGTCGTCAACTACGACGTGCCGTCGTCGGGCGCCGCGTACGTCCACCGCGTCGGCCGCACCGGGCGCGCCGGCCGCCAAGGCGGCGTCGCCGTCACCCTGTACACCGAGGAGGACGTGCCGTTCGTCAGGAACGTGGCCAACGTCATCAAGGCGAGCGAGGCGCTGAGGAGGGGGGGCACGGCCGCCGCAGCCGAGGGCGAGGGCGCGGAGAAGCAGACGGTCCAGCAGTGGTTGCTGGATGCGTTGCCCACGCCGAGTAAGCGCGATAAGCAGTTGTTGAAGAAGAGGGGCGTCGAGGCGAGGAGGACGGGCGTGGAGAAGGAGGGGGGCAGGGGCAAGTGGCGGACGCAGATTAGTACGAAGCCGGGCTTTGCGAGGAAGATGGAACATAATAGGAAGGCGGCGGTGGAGGCGAGTAGGAAGAGGAAGGAGAGTGGTGGTGGTGGTGGTGGTGGCGGCGGTGAGGAGGAGAGTGAGGGGGAGGAGTTTGGGGGGTTTGATGATTAGGTGGTGGAGTGGGGGAAAGGGGAAAGGCGTGTGGTTGTGGGGAGTGGTCGCCTAGAAAGGATTGGCAGGGAGAGAAGGGTTTGTTAGAAGAAGAAAAAAAGTTGACAGCGTCTTATTTTACCCGTATCAAAATCATAGCGATTGGCGTCTTTGGTGTTCAGCTTTGCATTTTCGGATGAATTCAGCTTGTCTGACGACATTCCTGTGATTGTGTTGAGGTCTCTTGCGATATCTCTCTACTTTCGGAAAGAGGCAGAGTTAGGACGGAGGGCCAGGTTGCCCCTTTCGTGCCCTACGGCACAACACTACCCTTTCCTGCAAGGGGCAGTCAAAGTAAGTGACTGCGTGTCAACAGGTCTTTATGCACAAGGATGTATAGACGATATCTCCAACCACCCATGTAAGCAGGTACAATAGCTCTGAGGATTCAAATGCTTTTTTTGTAACATACTGTGGGGATGCACCAGATCTGCAAGAGGGAGCGAGAGAGGGGAAAACAGGTTTGTAAACGACCTCAACAGAATCCTCTGCAGGCGTGCAGGTCGCCCGCATGTAATGTATGCAAGTCGAGCTCGAGAGAGGAATGAAAAGATAGAGGCACCAGCCGCGTATCTCCCTGTAGTTTGTCGGTTCTTCTACTACTTTGCACGTGAAAACGGGAATAAGATGGGAGGGGTGTGTGAGAGTACGGGAAACCAGATCGCTTGGCGATGGCCCTACGAGCGACACGTAGCCGATTGCTTGCTTTTTTTTTTTATCTCTTCCTTTTCGGCTCTCGTCTACATACATATATGAGGGGTAAATGCAGCTTACATACATGCATTGCATCGGACACGCAACACCGATGCACAACGTTTGAACGCTGGATGGGGGGGGAAATAAGAAGGCTCTAGGCCCCAGCCGGTCATCAACCAATGACGAACTGCATGTTCGGTTCGACGAGCGCAAATGAGGCCGTGGTATTTGTTCCGCCGGCCGCCTTGACGCGCTTTTTCTGAGTAATGCACCTTGATTCCCTTTCTTGGTTGGCTTTCCATGTGGGCACTGGAGATAAGCGCTGGTACGAACCGGCTTGGCCCAAATGTGAACGAAGAAGATGAAGAAGGAGTGATGGTGTCAGGGTGCTTGGGGCTGGCGTGATCTTGGTAAGGGGGACCTTCCGTTTCTGGTTTATCTCTATTGGAGATGAATATCCCGGTATTTTTGCGCGTGGAGACGGATACTATTGCGGTCTAGAAGAGACAATTATGGCTTGATATAGATGTAAGAATGCTCCCATTTGCCGCTATTTGAAACGGCCCAGTTCCTCCTCGAGATCTACTGCAACTCAATTGACCCACTTACATGTTTTACATGGGTAGTGTAATCCTATATCTGGATTTATTTGTACAGTTTGAACTTTAGCATTCAGATCCGGATATCTGCTTCACTCACGCACGAGGAAATATCATTTAAACCTACATTTACGTCGGCATGCTTGCTTCATCTGCCCACGCAAAGGATCGCCGTAGATCAATCTTTCGCAACCCGATATCGGCTTAGATACGGACATGTTGTAAGAGGCTCCTATGCGCGATGAGAAGCGGGCATGTTTCTGGTGGGAGAAAGATTATAGATTAGAGAAAAAGCGCACACGTCAATTTGTCCTAAGCGGGTGCGAGAAGGCGGGGGCGAGAAGGCGGGAGCGAATGCCACGCACTTATTCCGCTGGAGAGGTGGCGGTCACCGCCTTCGCGTGCGCGGTCTTGTGTCTGGAATAGACGGGAAGAGAGCTATATGTAGTAGTTAGTATTACTCTCGGTATCGCCTACCTCGTCGCTCGGACTCGATATCAGAGCAAGCTATCTATTTCGGCTGGTATCGCTTAGGTTTTGTCAACCTCGTGACTAAAGAGGGGTGTGCTTCAGTGAAACCTGGGGAGGACGGAATTATCCGGCAAGCACTGCCTGCACAGAGTATGTTGCATCTAAATGGTTAGGAAGTGCTTTGTAGGAGTTTGGTTTCCTAGATATAAGGCTCTCCGTGTGTAGTCTAGTAGGAGGTAAGTTATAGGATAGTATGCATGCGATAGAGTTAGGGGAGTCAGTAACGAGTTGTTCTATTATGAACAGGTAGAAGTCTAAGCGAGCCAAAGAAAGAACGGAGGTAGTCGTGTGAGAAAGTATACTCTATGCTATTATATTCAAGTCAATTTCCCTCGGTATCGCATGCGTTGCAGAATCTGTGCCAGCATCTTCGAGAGAAGGGTTGGCCCAAGACGGAGACAAGTGTGTCTATCAATGTACTCCTTAATTGACAGCCATTCCGTCGGTTTTCTCGCGTGGGTGTTAGATACGAACGAGCTGTGCCATTAGTCATTGCACTTCGTGTGCTTATCGGACAATGCTACAAGATGGATCTCGGACCCTAGTGGAGAGGACACAGTGAGACGAGGATGACAGAAAGAGTAAGGATTGTTTTGTTAGAAACACGATTGAAATCAATGGATTGACCCTCAAAGGGTGGCTATGGACAGAGGAAACCATCTACGTGGCAACCCTCAATATGTACGTGCTAAACCCCTTTTGGATTAACTCAGGCTGCTTTGTCTAGTTCTCGTTGCTGTCGGGTTCCAACAAGACACACCAGCTTCGTGGATTCTGACCAGGCTCGTACGACCAACAGGCGCAGGCTTGCATGTGCCGCGGCTGAGGTGGGCTGCAAGGATGCTGCATGGCACCCGTACCGCTGACTACGACGTCCGGCCCAGTCCTCCGTCTACTCGGGCCCATGGACTCCACGGACCGGTTGGGCCGTGTTCCTGTCCAAAAGGCCCAAAAGGAGCAGTCGAGGTAATGGCGGTTTGGCAGGGACCAAGGCCCCCTTCTCGTAAGTGCTGGCAGCCACGTCGGTGGTTTGATTCATTCTGCCATGGATACGTCCAGACGTCCGAGACACGGTCCACTTAGGCGCGTATACGAAGACTAAGTGAGGAGAGAGGCCCAGAACACTCCAGACCGACGACGGCATCTCCTGATCGTTCTCCGGACAGTGAGACTCCGGGGCTGCGGATGGCCATCCGGGGGCGTATCCATCCAGTTGCCGGCTTGATGGTGGAGAGTCAGTATGCAAGTGATTCACCGACAAAAGCCACAATCCGTGTTTCTGGGGTCACAGCAGCCGGACAAGCGGGTGCAGTCATACTACGTAGAGGTCAGGGGTCAGGTGGGCAAAAGGACGAGCAGGACCAGGTCCAAGAATGAGCAAAAGGAATTGGCCCAGCATGATCTGGAGCAAAAGAAGAGGGTATACTGGTCACTACGAGGGTCGAACTCGCGACCTTGGCGTTATCTTTTGAGACGTCTGGGGAGGACTGCCAATATTAGCACCACGCTCTAACCAACTGAGCTAAGCGACCTCCGGCATCAAGATCAGGTGATTGACCTCTGCGATGGGGCAGGGCTCGACCAGGTGGGAAGATATCGATTGCGAACGCGTCGAAAAGACGTGTTGACGAAGAGTCCAAGCAGATGGGGATGTTGAGCGAAAGATGGTGTAAAATTTTACTCTGGTCGACTAGTGTTTCCCGATTGGGACTAGCGCTGTAGTGAACGGATCGGGCTGCCAGAGTTGCCAGATTGAGGATGGAGCGCGTGGTACTACGTAAGAGCGGCAGTGGCGGAGATCAGCGCATGATCGAAGGACTCGGGACCCTACTTTGAATGATGACGAGGGCGAGAGGACACGAGCGTCAGCAGGATGCTCGCCGTCTGTGGGAAAGCCATGCAGAAACGTCTCGAACCCGCGATGGTCGGCTGAATCGGACGCTGAGGTGTGAACGGGCAGAGATGGGGAAGCAGGATGTCAGTTGGCAGTAGAGGCTCACGACGCGAGGCGGCTGCCAAGACGCGACGCGATGCGGCGGGGTGGTTTAGGGTTCGAGAGGGAAGACAAGTGTCAGCAGCTGATGATGATTGAGCCCTCGGTCGTCATCTTGAGGGCAGCGGTGGTAGGGCTGAGAGGGCGGCCAGACCAGTCCACTGCGACGTTGATCGCGGATCAGCATGGGAGGGAACGGCGGCGTAGGGCGGAGCGGAGGGCGGAGTAGGCGAGCGAGGTGCGGCGGTGGTGGCACAGTTGCGGTCCATGGTAGCGTGGAAGCCGACGTTACATGGCTGTGCGCCCGCTGCTATTTTCAGCACAGCCTTCCTCCACCCACACCACCCCAAGCCACCACGCACCTGCATCCTATCCGCCGTCGCCCTCGCCGCGCATGCGTCTCGTAAGGCTCGTACTACCCGCCCGATGCTCTACCTATGGCGTCCGTATGAGCCGAGTCTCCACCGGCGTTCCGCGGAACAGCACCGTAGGATGACACGGGTTCCATTTTTGGCAGTATGCTCGCCGCTCAGCGGGCAGGGCCACTATCACCGGCTTCAACTGTCGCTCAGCAGAGCATACATATAGCCGTCTGTCTGTCGCCCGGTAGCTGTTTTCTCTCCATCACAATCTTAATCACTACACTAATCAAGGCCCCGAGCCGACATTCGCTATACAACTTTTCCTTGCTCCCTTCGCTAGAGCCCCGAGAGCCAATCACCATTTCAATCTTCAGAATAATCTTGCACACTTTTCATAATGCACGCCCTCTCAATCGCCTTCACTGCCTTCGTTGGTGCTGCTGCTGCCAGCGTCAATGGTCCCTGGCAGAGCCACAGCTCCTGGGGTACCGCTGCCTCCAGCGACGTTACCACCCCTACCCCTAGTCTCTCCGGGAGCAGCGCCCTCCCATCAGGCACTGGATCCGTCAAGCCCAGCGGCACCGGCGGCTACGGCACTACTGAGACGGCCACCATGACCACCTTTACTACAGTCACCACTTGCCCTGTTACTTCGACCAAGACCGACCACGGATCCACCTACATCACCACCTCCTTGACCACCTCGACCATAACCGTCACCTCTTGCAAGGCCGGCTGCCACCACTCGACCGCTGCTCCCAACTCGACCTACGTCCAGCCGACCGACAAGCCCACCACCGCGCCGAATGGCACCTACGTCCCCTCGGGCAAGCCCACCACCCTCCCGACCGACAAGCCCACCACCCTCCCCACCGGCAAGATCACCGACAAGCCTACCACCGCCCCCACCGTGAAGCCGACAACCTCCGAGTACGCCCCCGGCACCACCCCGTTCGTCACCACCAAGATCTACCCCACCACCATCATCGACACCATCACCTCCTTCGTCCCTTGCTCCACCCCCGTCGGCCACCAGGGCACCAGCACCTGGTACTCCACCTGGCTGACGCCCACCTACATCCCCCACACCACCGTCTCCGACTGCACCACCGTGACGACCCTGCTCCCCGCCCCGACCGGCAGCAACAACGGCGGCGGCAACAGCGACGTCTGCCCCCCAGCCATCACCGTCACCCTCGCCCCCAACGGCTCCCCCGTCCCCGTCCCCACCGTGACCGCCTACGTCACCGTCAGCATCGGCCACGACGGCAAGCCCGTCACCGTCTCCGGCCCCGTCGTCACTCAGACTGGTGGTAGTCAGACGCATGAGGGCGGCGCGGCTTCTTCCAGTACCGGCAACCAGGGCCCTAACCCGACGAGCAAGCCGCACTGGGGAAGCACGACGACGACGACCGAGGGATCCGCCGGGCCTACGGGTACGGGAAGCCCGTCTGCTGGCGTGGGGAGGAAGTGGTAGGTAGATGTGATGAGGATTGGGGTGGGGGGAAGGATTATGTATAGATTCGTTTAATTGGCCTGGGGTGCCGGGTCGCTACGTTCTTTTCAGCGAGTTTTTTTTTTAACGACAAAAAAGGCATTGGGATGGCCTGTTGCATTCTTTAGCTTGGTTGGGATATCTGCGCATCTGCGCCTTTTAAGCGTTGGATTGGTCACGCTCCTTTCTGGTCATTTATTAGCGCGAATGTCGACTTACACTTGCATAGCAAGCTTGGCGTTGGTGAAAACATCATACTGGATGTTATTATAACTCTTTTGATTCCTTCGGTTGAGAAACATGTTTGAAGATGGTTTTCTGGCTTTCTCTTATTCAGACATGATATTTAACTACTTACATAAGTAAGCTAAGATATCGCTACAAGATATAGGAAGACTTAATTCTTTACGACCTACCGTAAAATCGACAGTTACCGCCAACGACAGCAGCCAGCAATCCTCTCCTGCAAATAGCGAGTATATCAATAGTGATAGAAATCATATTAGTAGGTTTTAAACACGCATATGTAGGATGACAAACTCTGAACAGAAAAGTAAAACCCGCAGGCATCAACTAATATTGATAACTACAGTAGAGCTGAACATAATATCTACGCTTTCATCTCTACATACAAAAAAAAAGCCGGCCGTTTTATTCACATATACAGAGAATACAGAGATGTGGTATCTTTACACAAGACGAGAGACAGAGAGAGAAAGAGAGATAGAGAGAGAGAGAATGCCACCTTCCTTCCTTCCTTCCGTTTCTTTTTTTCCCGCTTCCCAACCCACACCAACAACCACCTTTATGTCCCTTCTTCTACCGGACTGTCTTCATCCGCTTCTTTCATTCCATTGCTTGTTTCCTTTCTTGTCTGTCCGCCCATTCTAATATCCGTTGATTTTATTTTTATTTTCTCTTTTTGATATCCCCTTGTTTCCCATGTTTCTTTACACGCTATGCCTCCGCTCGACACCCTTATCCAGCCCCTTTGCCAGCGCATACAGCGCGTCGAGGTTCGGCGTGGCGACGCCCTTTTGCTCCGCGATCTTGATGGCGTTGCCGACGAGGGCCTCGACCTCGAGCGGGCGGCCGGCCTTGACGTCGGCCAGCATGCTGCCGCCGCCGGCGCGCATGGCCTCGGCGGCGCTGCCGGTCTGGGACTGGGCGCGGGCGAGCTGGTGGCGGGCCTCGTCGTCGGTGATTTCGGCGTAGCCGCAGGCCTGGGCGATCTTGACAATCTCCTGCATGACGTTCCACACGAAGTCGGGGCCGTATGACTGTTGTTGTTGGTCCGGGGGGAAGGGCGAGGCGGCGGCGACGGCGGCGAGGACGACGGCGGGGTCCCAGGTGGCGGCGTTGACGAGCATCTTGCTCCAGCGGCGCGGCTGGATGTCGTCGTAGACGAGGATGGTGGCGCCGCCGCGCTGGACGAGCTCCATGAACTCGCCGAGCTGGGTGGCCTCGGCGACCGAGGTGGCGGGGAAGGCGCCCACCTCGAGGCGCTCGAGGTTGCCCATGCGGACGCAGCCGGGGCTGGGCTGGGTGGCGGGCAGGTAGACGACGCCGGAGAGGATGGGGTTGCGCGGGAAGGCGTCGTGCCACTCCTGCTCGATGCCGATGCCGTTCTGGACGAGCACGACGGCGGTGCGCGGGCTGGCGACGGCGGGGGCGACGAGCGACGGGGTGCTGGGCTCGGCGCCGGGGAAGGCCTTGCTGCACACGAGGATGAAGTCCCACGGGGCGTCGACGGGCGGCGCGGCGACGTGGTCGACGACGTGCGGGCGCACGCGCAGGGCGTGGCCGAAGACGTCGCTGTCGAGCTGGAAGCCGTGCTCGCGGACGTGCTCGTAGTTGCTGCGGCACACGCAGGTGACTTGGGCGCCGGCGCGCGTCAGCACCCAGGCGTAGACGGAGCCGATGGCGCCGGCGCCGAAGATGAGGACGCGGGCCATGAGGGGGAGGAGGGATGGATGGGGGTGGGCAAGGGGCAGCGCGGTGTCGGCCGGCTCAGTCGGGGTCTTAATGTCATGGTCTGGCGGCGGAGGAGTGCGCAGGAAGAAAGAAAATCAGGCTTTGATGCGTGTCAGGGGTGATGGGTGTCGGTGTGAGTCGCGTCCGGCTGGCTGCGCGGGTGGGGCGGGCAGATCTGGAGTGCGCGCCAGGCGGGCGCTGCCGTGTCTGCCGCCGCTAAAAAAGCTCCTTGCGGCCAGCTGCGCCTGCTAATCCGCCCCGAACCGGTGTATTTTGCTGCCGCTTTGCTGCCGCCTCGCTGCCGCGGACCAGGGCCGAGGCTCAGGGTCCCGCCGCGTCCAAGGAGGCGGTCCTGCGCGCCCTCACGCCTGACTCTCTCCGTCGCCGCCCAGTCCCCACTCGACTCCCGCCCCGGCTGCCGCGCGCCCTCAGCCAGACGCCCGCTGCCCCGTTCCGCGCGCCCCGGCCGGCTGCTGCTCGCCAGCGGCTGCCCGCCCGCCGTGCCGCGCCCAAGCCCGCCCAAGCCCGACAGACCTGCCCCCCTGGCGCGCCCCGGCACGCCCTGGCACGCCCTGGCACGCCTGTTTCAGCTGCGGGCAGATCATCGACACCAAACCCACGGCGCTGCCACCGACCCAAGTGGGCCATCCCAATCCCGCCCCAATCGCGCCCGCTGCCACACCCGCCGCCCGGAGGAACATCCGCCGCCCCTCGTGCTTCTCTCCGCATTGTCCAGCATCCGTATATCAACACCCATGCCCCCTCAACCCGCTGTGCCTCACTCGCCCGTCGGCCGTTTGCTGAATCTAGCCAAAGCGTGCCGTCTCGCCGCCGTCTTAGTCGCGCGGCCCGCCCGCGCGTCCCGCCCGCGCGTGCTGCAGCCGTATGGCGGCATGGCCGCCCGGCGCTGCTGTTGTATTGTTGTCCCGCCCGCCGGCTCCACAGCATCCTCCTCTCCCACTAGCTAGCTCCCTCCCCGGCACCGCCCTGCTGGACCCCTTCAGACCGCCGCTCCCCGATGCCGCTTTCATTGTTCGGAACAGTCGGCGCCTGCTTCTCCCGTTCGAGCCGCGCCCCCCCGTTCGAGTATCGCCGCGAATTTCCTCTTTGGTGCTGCCGCCACATGCGGAAGGGAGCGACAATGAGAGAAGAAGCCTTGCTTTGTCCTCCTCTCGCCGAGCGCCCGCAACCGCACGAGGCCACCACAATGGGCCTTGTTCTGCCGCGCCTGTCCTTCATTTGCCATGTTCTTGCGAGAATGGGGGGGTGGTCAGCTCTGCCACTTATAGTCGGACCCGCACTTCACACGCTGGCGTGATGGTTCCGCTCCCTGTTCAGCTGGGGCACGACGACTTGCACATCCTTCTCGGACAGCTGGACCGTTCTTGTACGCTCATTTGGTGGCATATTTCCGGCCTGGTGGTGTGCTCACGAGACACACCAACACTCGCTCACAGCCACCATGTCGTCCGCTCCGGAACTGCAACCGCACTTCCCTCTCCGGGCCCAGCCGCTGCCCAGGGGATCGCCGATCGGCGGCCGCGAGCTCTACAGACACGCCGTCAGAGAGTTTTTGAGGCACGAGATTGGTCAAGGGCTCCGAGACCGACATCGGCTGGCCCGCCACAGCGAATGTGAGTGAATGAGAAAGAGCCGAGGGCGCCAACATGATTCAGGACACGGCATAAAAGCTGTGCACAGCATGGGTTCCGTGCCGGGGACAGTGAGAGGGATTTGTGCTGACGAGCGGGACCGGCACTGACCGCATTTCCAGCACAATGGGACAGAGCTAGTGACAACAAGTGGAAGGTGCTTCCTTCAATCATCAGACGCCGCTGGGAAGCCGAATCACGCCGGCTGTGGCCTCGCCGAGGGGATGATCCTTCGGTGCGCACCGAGCCAATGGATGTGTTTTGCAATGCCGACGAGATATACTATGTCAGAGGCAGGGTGCGCCCCAGAAAGACGCAGAAACTCGATTGGCCCGAGGGTCAGTTGCCGGAGAAAAGGGGCTGGCCGTGTTCCGGCCTGAGGGCGCAAGTGTGGCTGATTAAGTGTGCGTACCAGAGTATATTCGCGAACGCTACCAGCCCGTGTACGACGCACTTGGAAGTACAGCGACCATCACGGGTGGTAGACCTCGCTCTGTGAAGACTGCATCTGCCCCGAAGACTCCCTCGACACACTCGAACCGTGGCACTGCAAGCCAGGGCCCTGCAAACTCGAACAATGACCCCGGACTCCCGCTCCTATCGCTCGGCAAAGCACCCTTCATCAACGAAACGTACAAAATCGACCACTCGCGGGGATGGGACCCTCCCAGAGACACTTGGCTGGCGGATCTGCCCATGTTTTACGGTGCTGCCGACAACGGTCTGCAGTGGCACGCGCCGAGCAATGCTGAAGAACGAGGCGACGCTTTGAATTTGCACGAGGCTGTTAGAGACGGCAGTAGCAGGGGCAAGTGGACATGGCACAAGCAACTGGGCCAGGGCACTTTCGGAAAAGCTATGCTTTATCGATGGGCCGATGATCAGGGCAACATTCTTGGTGTAAGTGGTTGTCATTTTGTCATTGGGAGACGTCTGTTGCCTTCCTTTGTTTTTCTTTCACCTGTGCAGGCATCTGCGAAGGGAGGGATGGGTCCAAGTTATGCTTTTCTTTGTACTCAAAACGGCCGAGACCGGCATCTCACTTCGTCATCGAAAAGTATTGAATGTATTACTGACGATTGGCCCTTTGCGACATAGCGTGTGGTTGTCAAGAGAGACTTGCAACAGTCCCAATATGAGGAGCGACGACATTTCCGATCTTTGCGCGACGCGGGAGTGGATAGCAAATACATCGTAAAATACCTCGGCGAGAACGCTCGCAAAAAGGAATTGGGACGTACATATTTGGAGTTCGCTCCTTACGGCACCTTGCACGACCTATATGAGTACTACGAGCAACACGAGTAGGTTGGAGTGAACGCATTCTCCAAGACGACCGAGATTAACTGTATACTGCAGCGTCATGATTCCGGAACCATTTCTTTGGTATCTGCTCCGCTGTCTTGCAGAGGCAGCAGTCGCACTGGAAGATCCCGTGCCGCCGCATAAGAAGGCCATGTTCCATTTTGACCTCAAGCCCCAGAATATATTGCTCAATCATGCCGACGTCTCCGCCACCTCTCATCACTGGCACCAGAACTATCCGGTAGTGCAGATGGCTGATTTCGGCGGCGTCTGCGAGTATCCCGAGCCAGGTGAACCGGACACGGCCATACGGGGAGGAGGTACACCGCATTGGATGCCATGGGTGAGTCAAGTTCCCTCCCAATACAACAGATAGGACCATGGCCACCACGCCAAGCCCACAAGCATACTTTCCCACTACATCGCTCGCGAACTAAAAACTCGATAGCACTGACAACTTCATCAGGAACTCCTCCAACAAGATGACCAGCTCGAATGCAACGACTACCGCACCACCACTTTCCCAACGTACCGCCCCGTCCCGGGCATTCCCGGACCCAAGCCCGCCCTCCCCGTCGACCACCCCTGCCGCTCCTGGACCAGCATATGGCAAATCGGGCTCGTCCTCTACACCGGCATGCGGCTGCCACCGCACGCCCAGCCCGAAACCCAACCCTACGTGATGCCCGCCCAGAACCCCAGCATCCACACCTCCCTCTCCGCCTGGCTCGACGAGTGCTACAAGCTCGTGCGGCACGACTTCCCGCGCCGCCACCACCGCCGCAACCGCGACGACTCGAACCTACCCATCCCAGCCATCGACGCGCTGGCCGCGCACTTCTGTCTCCCTCCCACAAAAACAGCAACAGCAACAGCAACAGCAACAACCGCCACCCCGCCCGCCCGCCCCAGCAAGAAGCAGAAAAAACCCACCCCATCCCTCGACCCCGCCATGGACGCCCTCCCTCCTCCGCGCATACCAGCAGCCCAGCACCGGCCCATCGTCGTCGTCATCGTCGTCGTCTCGGGCCTCATACCTCCCCCGCACCGCCCTCTCCCCGCACTACTCCCCCCGCCTCGTCGAAACCGTCTTCCGCTGCCTCGAGCCGCTCCCCGCCGACCGCCCCTCCCCGCCCGCCCTCCTCGCCGAGGCGCGCGACGCGTGCGCGGCGGGCTGCGAGAGGTGGTGGCCGTCCCAGCCGCCGCTGTCGTCGTTGTCGTTGTCGTCGCCGGGCGCGGAGAGGCCGAGGCCGAGGCCGCTGGTGTTGGGCGAGGACAAGTATCCGGTTGGGCGGGCGGTGTTGAATGATGTTTATACGTACGGATAGGGTGGCTGGTGGGTGTGAGAGGTGGCCGGTGGGTGGCTGCTGAGGCGGGAGGAGAGGGCGGGGCGGGTGAGGGAGATTGGGGGGAAGGCTTGAGTGACGGAGTTGGGGGGAGGGGGTTAATGGGCGGGTGGGGGTTTTTGTTGGCTTGCTTTGGCTTGCTTTTGCTTGGGGTACTGGTTTGGGCGGTGATTGGGGGGTTTTGTTTTCTTTTGATGAAGGAAAGTTTTGGGTTTGTAGGATATGTGGAGAAGGATGACACAGGCGCCACTGATGAAGTTGGATGTTCTGAAAGTCGTTGCCGGTTGATGTGCTTCCCCATTCCCGTCATGCACGTTGCAACCCCACACCTTTCAACGCCAGACTGCGCACATAGCCTCTACGATGTGCGCCATCAGCATTGCCTCATTCCGGGGATCCACAAACCACAAAGACGCTGACAAACGCAACAGCTGCTTGCACGTAGGCAACTGCGAAGTGGCAGTATGCGATCTGTGCCAGTGCTGCCTGTGGCGCAGCCCAGCGCAGCCTAGTTGCTGCCTGGCCTGCATCCTTCCATAAAACCATTTCTCCCCCACCCCTTCTCAATTCATCCATTCAGTTGCTCATCCACCATGTCCGGCGACATGCCCAAGCAGGAGTTTCTCATCGACGACTTGCCCACGACTTCGGTCACCATTTACCCGTCTCGCGCCCACGTCGTGCGTGATATCGCCGACGTCAAGCTCCAGCCCGGCCTCAATGAGGTAACCATCTACGGCATCACGCCCGCTGCCGACGAGCATTCCGTGCAGCTCGACGGCCATGGCGCTGCCACCATCACCGACATGAGCGTCGAGCTCGTCGCCAACCGCGAGAGGTTCGCCGATCACTTCTCCAGCGACGACTCGGATTCGGATTCTGGGGACCATGCCAGCGACGGCGAGTGGAAGAGTGGTCATCTCAATGCCCTGGCTAGCGAGCTGAGGCGGTTGAAGGGGGAGCTCGAGGATGCGCGCGAGAGGCAGAGCTCGGCCAACGACCAGATGCGCGTGCTCAATGCCTTTATGGAGACTATCAATGCGAAGCACAACGAGCCTGCAGATGCTTCCAAGGCTATTGCTACCTATGGTAGTGACAGAGCACGTCTTCATGCGCAGTGGGCGCTTGCAAAGGACGAGATTGAGAAGTCGGAGAAGAACATCAGGAAGAAGGAAGCGAATTTCCAGAAAGCGACGAAGGAAGAGCGCAAGTGCAAGAAGAAGAAAGCGGAAGAGAAGCAGAAGAAGAAGGCTCAACGGCGGCGAGAGAGGAAGCATGTGCGAGACGAGAAGGCCAAGTTCTGGCCGAGGAAGCTCTACTGCGTCAAGCTGACTCTGGAAGCCCCCGTGGATACTCCCATGTCGTCCAGGCGGAGCTCGCTCGACTCCACCGACGAGAAAGCTCCATTCAGTTTTTCGGAGAAAACGGTGCGCCTCTCGCTGTCGTACGTGGTCCGCGAAGCGTCTTGGTCTCCGCGGTACAACGTCAGCATCTCATCTCTGGACAAGACCGCAACCATCATCTACAACGCCGAGTTCAGCAACAAGACATCCGAGACATGGAAGGACGCCAAGATCACTCTTTCCACTTCTCAGACCTCTTACTCGGGGCTTGATGACAAGGTCCCCGAACTCCGACCGTGGCCCATCTTCCTAAGGGACAGGCACGCATACGACGAGGACGAGCATCTCTGGGATACCAAGCTTAGCCCGCAGGAGAACTTGGCTGGCGGTAGCTTCATCTCCCATGGCCATAGCCAAGACCACTTCAACCGATATGAGGTTTTCGGTCCCGAGCGCGCCGGCCTCTTTGAAAACTTGACCGTCTCTAGATCAACACATCAAAGCCGGCCGCCCCCACCCCCACCCCCAACTTGGAAGCCTACCTTTGGAGCTCCGTCCCAACTTGGCTCTGCATCTGGTGGTAGTCTATTTAACAATCCCGGCAGAGGCTTCGGCAGCAGCAACGCTGGCCCAACTATGACTGCTTTTGGCTCAGCAGCGCCTTCTGCCGGCAACACCAATTCCGGAACCGAGCAACCCCCAGCCACGGGAGGGCTATTTGGCAACAGTAATAACGCGCAACCCGCGCAAGGAGGAGGCGTTTTTGGCGGCGGCAGTAACAACAACAACGCGCAACCATCGCAAACAGGAGGATTATTCGGCAGCAGCAACAACAACAACACCGCGACCAGCAGCGGCAGTCTATTCGGCAACACCACCACCACCAACAACAACGCCCAGCCACCACCAACCGCCGGCAGCCTCTTCGGCCGCAGCGCCGCCGCCGCCGCCGCCCCGCAACCCACCACCAACCCCCCAGCCGCTCACGCCCACCCCGACACCCTCCACCAAGACCCCACCTGGGAAGACTCGGGCATGACAACCGCCTACGACCTCCCGGGCACACGCACCCTCGCCCCCTCTCTCCTCTCCCACCGCCACAAGCTCGCAACCCTCCACATCCCCTCCATCACCCTCTCCCACCTCGCCATCCCCAAGCTCCGCAAAGGCGCCTTCCTCCGCGCCGAGCTGCGCAACCCCCCCACCACAAACACCAGCGGCGGCCTCACCCTCCTCGCCGGCGCCGCCGCCCTCACCCTCGACGGCACCTTCCTCGGCAGCAGCAGCACCACCACCGCCTCGTCGTCGTCATCGTCGTCGTCGTCGTCGTCATCGCTTCTCCTCCCGCGCACCGCTCCCGGCGAGACGTTCTCCCTCGACCTCGGCGTCGATCCGGGCGTGCACGTGGCGTACGCGCCCGCGGCGCTGCTGCGCGGCGCCGACGGCCAGCCGGCAGCGGGGCTGTTTGCGGGTGTCGGCTTGCAGCGCGAGGCGGTGGATCGGTACGCGCGGTGCGCGACGCTGACGAACGCGCGGGCGGGGCGGGTGAAGGTGTGCGTGAGGGATCAGGTGCCGGTGTCGGAGATGGAGAGGTTGAGGGTCGAGGTTTTGGTGCCGAGGGGGCTGTGGAGGGGTGGCGGGAAGGTGGTGGCGGGGGAGGTGGCGGAGGGGGAGGTGGCGGAGGAGGGGGGAGGGAGGTGGGGGCAGGCGACGGCGGAGATGAAGGAGGGGAATGTGGTGGAGTGGACGGTCGAGTTGGAGGGGGGGAGGAGCTGTAGGTTGCCGCTTGAGTGGGAGGTCAGGATGCCGGGGGATAAGAGGATTGCGTTTGCGTAGTGGTGGGGCACGATGGGAGGGTTTTGGGATGGAGAGGGGAATTTTGATGGTTGGAGACTTTTGGGATAGAGAGAAGGAAAAGGACGAAATAACCGAGCCAGGGTCTGTAGATAGGTATATAGTATGAATATAGGAAATAACCGTCAAGCATTGATTTTTTCGCCATGTATAAGGGAGAAATATTCTCCGCCGATGCATAGATCTTGTCTTTCGTGTATGCTGTGGAGGTATGCTTGGATCTTCTGCGCACCATTCAATTGCTTGAAACGACTGACCAGATACTCTGGCGAAGCTGCAAGTTGGACGGGAAAGATAAGGTTTGCGATCAGTTTGAGGATTGCGGAGAATAAAATCGAAGATCGAGATCGACGTGCTAAACCGGAAACGCGGCTGAGCTTAAGACAGCTGACGCAGCCGCGACAGGACGCCTTACCTAGCTAGCTCCGCGGCCCACTTGAAACCCACGGGTCAGGAGTATCAGCCTCTTCCAGATGAGTGCATGCGCAGTGCGAAGTCAAATGGTGAATGGATCTCTGCCGGCATTATATCTGACCCTGGGTATATCGATGCGTCCGAATTTGATCGGCTTACGCACTTCATCCACGCATTCACGATAGCAAATCTACCCCACAGATGCAGATCTTGGCCACTTCAGTCTCCATCTACACCACATAGGCTTAGATCATACGCGTACGCAGAAAGGTCAATGGGGCCTCGGCGTAAGGGCGGCCTTTGCAGAAGGCATGATTGGGCTCTCGGTCCAGGTGTCCACTCAGGAACGGCGGATTTGGTGAGAAGTTCCTGGTAATAGAGACCAAGGCCTTGAGCCGCACAATCAGAAGTTTGAGGACGTTGAGGTATAAAGTCATTTTCCCCCGACATCTCTTGGCTTTACCATCGGCACTCTCGCTCCCGTTTTTCACTGTTGTCTCTCATTCTTCGTCCAATTTTTGGTTCTGCTTGGGCTCGAAGGTAGCCACAATGGGCATTCTCAAGTGGACAGTCGTCACTCTTTTTGCGTCCGCCATTGACTTGGCCGCCGGTTCTCCGCTGGCAAAGCGTAATGGAACATGTACCACCAAAAACCAGCGCAAATCATGGTAAGAAGCTACAAGCGAACTCGGAACGACACCGGGCTGAAACAGTCGCCCAGGAACAATCTCAGTGATAGCGAGAAAGCGGCGTACATTGACGCTGAGCTTTGCCTGATGTCGTCTCCGACAAAGCTCGACATTGAAGGCGCCCAGAACAGATGGGACGAGCTGATGTATAGCCACATCGTCCAGTCCAACATCATCCACGACGTGGTACGTATATCCCAACCACCTCCCTCCAGCGCTACTGACCCAACAAACCATAGGGCGCCTTCCTCCCCTGGCACCGGCTCTACATGCGCGCCCACGAGCTCCTCCTCCAAACCGAATGCAACTACACGGGCGCGCAGCCGTACTGGGAAGAATCCCTCGACGTCACCTCGCTCAACACGTCCTCCGTCTTCGACCCGGCCACGGGCTTCGGCGGCGACGGCGCGGGCGACTCGGGCTGCGTGGCCGACGGCCCGTTCGCGAACCTCACGCTGCACATCAACCAGACGTCGAGCGCCGCCAACTACTGCCTCGCCCGCAGCCTCGACAGCGCCAACTTCCAGAAGGCGAACACGACTTACATCGACGCCTGCTACGCGTCCGCCGACTACGACGAGGCCTTCCTGTGCTACAAGAGCAGCCCGCACACCGCGGGGCACGCCGGCGTCGGCGGCACCATGCTGGATGTCGTGTCCAGCCCCGGCGACGTGAGTTTGATCATTTTGCCCTCACACCCTGACGTGAAAATGATGCCCCGCAGCTAACACCGCAGGTCCCCAGCCCCTGTTCTTCCTCCACCACACCAACCTCGACCGCCTGTGGTGGCTGTGGCAGAGCGCGAACCTGACGGCTCGCCTCACCGACATGACCGGACGGAACGTCCCGCTCACGACTTACCTGGAGCAGAACGATTTCGAGTACCCCGGTGCCGATATCCTCAACTACGATGGCGACCCAGCCAATGTCACTACCTTGAACCACAACCTCTGGATGGTGGGCATCATTCCGAATGCGACCATTGCCGAGGTCATGGATTTGGGGGGCGACTTGATTTGTGCCGAGTATGTTTGATTTTTGGGCTCCGTGTGGCTGTGGTACGTGTTGTTGGTTTCTGCGTGGTTGGGGATTGTGTGATTGAGGCCGGAATGATGACGAGCGAGGAAATGGCTGGGAAGGCAGAATGGGGGGGCTCGGCGTTGGGGCGTATTGTGGTGAGGGGGACTGGCGGGAAGAATTCAATAGCGTAGGCAGGTAATGTTGTTCTTCTGGTCTAGATGATGAAAGGTGCTGCTTCTCGCCTGATGAGGGAAGGTAATCTATGTACGTGGATGCGGCTAACGTGTTGTCACTGTTGCATAGCAGTGCCGTTTTACTAAATCGACCGCTGCAGCAGAGCCGCTGAGCTTCCAGAGCAAGACGCACGTAGTGACGCTGTGGAACGTAAGAAGGGATAGTTTCCCACTGTCGCCTGCCACCCGAACCGCCCTACTTAAATTAACCATTTGGACAAGGCCAAGTATTTAAGAAAACAATACACCCGCCTTGTGTGGTTTGTACACTGACTTTTGTGTATATGGTGTGATGTGTAGTTCGCTAGACCAAAGCGGCCACAGAGGGTCGCAAGTGAGGGAGAATTTCAGCGCGGTGATATTCCTCAAAAGTTTTCTCCAATCTTATCGAACTGTTAAAGTACGATATATACCGACAGTTGTTGAGGACGGCAGTCTCGTAAAGCAAAGAAGGCAGATCAAATAGTGCAGGTTGCCATACTATTCGAGGACTACCTAGGAGGAAACTGTCGCCCACCTTCACCCCACTCGTCTGTTTTTATTCCCTTTTTGGAGGTGCCGTCAACTGAATAGGGAAAACACCACTGTCACCGTATAATTAAGTAGGCGCTACCGAGTATTATGGCGGCCATCCCTGTAAGCCTATCGGCATTCTTGCACCTTTACTTATTACTAGTATTAAATCAAGCGTTTACATTGGCACTACTTAATTACATGTTACACCTTCGGGCTTAAAGAATAATATAAGCATTTATTGTTTCAGTGAACTTTAGAGACGTATTTTTAACATTGCATAGAGTGGCCTCAGCGACCCCCAACATCCCGGAGCTCAACCAGGGTCAAGGATCCAACAGTGGAAAGCAATCCAATAAATGATAGGAAATGGTATCATCACAGCGGTGTTATTAGGCATCATCCATGAAACAACAGTGAGCGCCCGTCAACGAGTTATCTACGATGCTCAAAGTCGTCAACGTTCGTAAGCGAAGATAATGAAGGCGAAGTAAAGGATACTGGAGTGGTCTCTTGACAAATTACCTGGCGGTCGATGCGAGGACTGAGGATCAAGCCTTTTAATACTCATTAAAGTGTGTGCACTTCCGTCCTAGAGGTAGCCTTGAAAAAACCCCCGTTCTATTTATGCATTCAATACGTATTCAGACACACATGAAACTCCTGTAATCAGAGCAGTGTGCCAATCTTGGCAAGGGCAACGCGTCCCGCATGCATCATTGTCTGACGCTGATTATCACGCAAGTCTCGCTTCTACAACGTCGTACGTGACCAGCACGGCGCCAGTTGCACAGCCGATAAGGCGGTTGAGATATATCCAACCCCGCACTGTCGATCCATGCCGCAACCGCCCCAACACCCCGCGTCCGGGAACTAGTTATCTCCGTCGGACATGAGCAGGCAGCCGAAGGAATTCACAATACCGATAAGGGTTTCGTGAAGGCATCCAATATAAGTGTGTCGTTCGCAGAATGAGGCGCGAAAATCAGGCTACACTATATTTTCTGACCGCCAGAGCGCGTCGAGAAACATTCCGAACAGCAAGGCTTGAATGGGCTGCCTTGCATCACATGTGTACGACGAAAGTGCGTGTAAGGCGTAATTACAACACTCGGTGTGGGGGCGGCATTCATTCATTGACCCTTCCGTCATCTGCAAGGCTGGATGGGGCTGCATGGCTACGTAGTCCTTTCTGATTCACCGTATCCACCTGGAATCGATCACACTTCCGAGAAACTAACAAATTACATCGACTTGGTACAATAGGCACCACGGAGGCAACCACCGTTGCCTTAGACGCGAGAGGTGTGGGTGTCCACCACCATGGAAGAGGGGTGCGCAGATGACCACGCACATATGGCTTCAGCCCAAAGGCCATGATTGGAACCCGGGTTTTCCCAGTGTTTCACAGTTTTTAGTTGGTCAAGCCAACCGACTCACAGCCTCAGCGATCTTGTCGACACGCGCCCAAGGGAAAGCAATGCGGCCCTCTGACTACCCGAGCCTTGCCTCACTTCATTGTTCCTTTGCTCATCGCAGAGATATATTCTACGTACTCTTTGCGTTGGTCTGGCATACACCGGCGCGATGAGCTACCATTATCCGCAAGCACCCGGATTTTTCAAAGAGAATCCCGGGGACCAGCAAAGGGCGAGACAAGGGCGCGAAGCAGGTGTACGGCACCGAAATTCAGTCATCGAACGAACGGCGCTAACATGGAGAAGAGCGCAGAGGATAACACAGCATACTCTAACGTCCCAGAAAAGCCAACGGCCAAACCTGTTAGTGGATCTTTCTACTCGAATCATGACAGGAACCATGAGCTAATGGCCAGCTTGCAGTTCCCCAAACCTCCCTCAAGTGGCAGCACGCAGTCTAGCCGGACTGCAACAGCTCATCAGGCGTATCAAGTTGCACAAACGCCGGCAGGTTTCACCGGCTACAACCCACCGTCGTCCGAAGGTCAAGCAATCTCTCCAGAAACAACACCGCAACAGCAACGGCCGCAACGGCAGGCGGACACAGCTCCACAAGAGCGATATACACCGAGAACGTATGCTCAAGGCTCCAACAGTTCAAATTCATCGGGAGTGATGGAGCAGCAACAATCAGGAACGAACTCAACATGGACTTGGGACCCAGCCAACCAAAGATATTACCGTTATGGCCCAGCTGGTAAGTTCAAGGAAGGCTTTTATCGCTCAATAGCTAACAAGACCAGGCGAGGTCATATGGAACTAGTAAAGGCGCCTGCCATGTACATTTTGAGCATCTGATTCCAACGGCGCACGCTGATTGCTCGGTTTTCTAGTTTACAACGAGGCGGACGGATTTCTTTACTAGGCTTCTGTTGAAACAAGGATGACGGAGAAACTGAGCCGTGTGATGTTTTCATTCTTTTATTTGAGGCTGTAGAATATACGCTGTTCTGTGATTGTGGGGACCAATCCAATAACTGGGTCAATTAATCTAACGAGGCTGCGAGGCTCGCTGCATTGTCTTGTTGCAGCGCGGCTTGTGAGACCCTAAGCGTGACAAAATCCGCCTCATGTGTTTTAGCCGCAGCGATCTGACCCTGCCTTGCACGCGACGAGCTTGCTGACCCGCGATCATCCGCCCGGCGGCAAACGTGGCTGCAATGGCTTAATCTTCTCTCCCAATCATTTAAACCCTCCGTCCCGCTCAAACGACAACAGGCTGTGCCCCCCAGCTTCTCTTACTCCCTCGGCCGGGCTACACCCCTGACGCTTATGATGCGCCTTCTGCCCGCAAGCGTCTCATTCAGCAGTATTCACGAACCAGGCGGCTGAGGCAGCTTAAGAGCTCTGACGCATAGCGAATTGGCAACTTCCGCGTTTTCACGAGGCAAAACCCCCTAGCATCCCCGACAAGGCTGGGAGCCGCGTTTGGTCCATTCTTGTGCGACCTGGTGTGGCTGTGAAGCCTCCCTGCCACCTGGCACTTTCTCCTGCGAGAACATCGCGACCGAAGCGGGCGCAGTGCCCGAACAACGCATCGTCGCATTTCCTCGCCGCACACGACACCCCGGACCTATGGGAGCAATGGCAGCTGAACCTGATCTAGAGTCTGATAGCAAGGCTGATAGCAAGGCTGATATCAAGGCTGGGGCGACAATCGAGGCCGAGACGGCCACCCTTGCGACGGGGTCAAGTAAGAAAACACCCGCATATCGAGTTTAACTGAGACTGATTTTATCGCTAGGCCTAACTCTTTCTGAGCAAATGCAACCGGCGGAGACCGACGGTCGGTTCGCCAATGTAAAGGCGAAGCCGGGTGAGGATGATGAATGCATGTTCCGCTGGCCACGCCGCTAACAAAATCCAGTGGCTGATTATCCGGCCGGATATCCACAGCTTGCTTCCTTCATCGATTGTGATTCAAATTTTCGAGTGTATCGCCGCTTCGGCCAGCTTCGGAATCGGGTGTTACTACATCGGCAGCATGAACTGACACAACTGGAGAAGGAGCTCGACGACCTTGACGAGCGGGATAGCACCTCGAACAGGGTCGAGCTCAGTTTTCGGCTAGCTTCAATAAGCTATGACGAGGCCCAGAGCGATTCTCCACGCAAGGAACTTATCGAAAGAATCGATGCAAAGCTGGAACACTACGGTACGTCCAATCCAACCCTCCTCGGTACATGTCCGGTTTGCTGACACCTGGAAGATGCTCTATTGACCCGAGAGCGCGATTCTCTCGCCATGGATAAGCCTACCAAGAGGAATCTTCAGTCGCTCATAAATTTTGTCTGGAACACCAAAATGCTCGCTGAAGAAGAGATTGATTACCTCAATCGTGAGGACGATTTCGTCATTCTTGCCAAAGACCAAGACTCCCCTTTCCATGTCTCCCTCGAAACCCTTCTAGCAAAGAAACCACTATCGTGGCTTCAGGTAAGCCCCTTCGACAGAACATCCGTCTCTGCTTGCGCGCTCATCCTTCCTTCTAGCCCATGTTCGTATCCAAAACCCAAGCAGAAAAGGCTAAAGGCTCCGAAGAAGTACCAATCATCTTATTCTCCAAAACCCGGGTCAACGCCTTGATTCGCGTCATTGTGACTCTCGTCACAGTCGCGCTACTCATGATACCCGTCTGTCTTCTTTTCAGCTTGGGCCTCAGCGACAAAATCAAAGTCGTCTTCGTCCTCCTCTTCGTTATCGTATTCCCCATCGCCATTTCGATATTCGCGCAACCAAAAAGCCACGAACTATTTGCCGCTACCGCTGCGTAAGTCCTTCTGTCTTCGCCACTGCCGTGGTCTTTTGCTCACATTCCTGCCATGGTCCAGTTATACCGCCGTGCTTGTCGTTTTCCTGACGAGCTTTTCTGAAAATGCAAATTAATACGAAGATTGATCTACTTTGGGAGTGTGTTATTCCGGAGTCGAGCCATCTCGATTCACCTTCGGCGTTATCCATAATCTCAATGGAAACGCTTTTCTGGTAATGCACAAAACAACCATCAACATATATTGGGACCCCCCAATAGGGGGGAAAAAAAAGAGCAACAAAACATTCAGCTTTCGACAATGCATTACTATTTCGGAGTTTCTAAAATTCGGTCCGTATGCATTACTGTTGTACGCTCCATGCAGAGGAGCCCAAAGAAAACAAGTGCTTTAGCGGGTCGGTTCATCTTTAGGGTATTCAGCCGTAGACTCAGTCGCATACTGGCGATTCGGTCTACTCTTGAATTTCTTTTTTTTTTTTTAAAAAAAACCTCTACTTTTTTGTATTTTAATTTCAATTATGATTTGAGTGTCTGGTTATGTTCCTACAAAATGCAAAGCCACAGTTTGAGTTGGCCCTGTAGACGATTGCCGTGACATTTAATGCATTGCAAGGAACTTGATCTATTACTACATCCTCGAAATTTGGATTCGTCGAATTTGAAGCAGATAATTCCATTATCTGGTGGCATGTACATACGATCTTATATATATCGTTGGGTTCTCGAGGACACCGCGTTACTTATTTTGTGAGACATGTGCCAGAATTCTCGGCAGGCGACTAACGTCAACTTTAAAGACTCACTTTAAGGCTGAAAAGTATTCCGGGCCTAAAGATTGTTTCTTATTGGAAACCTCTAGGTGTGTGACGTCTGCAAAGGCCTTTACAATCCAATTGCGGCTCTCCACGTGCTATAGATGCAGTAGCTAGCTGGTGCATAAAAAGAAAAGAAAAAAGATCTGCACTGCCTTGATACTTTCTTTAATTGGGCAGCGTCGTCAGACGAAGTGTCCAGCAAATTTTTGTTTCAGCAACGTTAGATGACACATTTACATTCTGAGAAACAACCCGTTTGGATAATGATTCCGTCTATACTACCATTACAGCAGGGTTTGTAATCGGCCTGGAACACGCTCGTTTTGGTACAGTAAGCCTTGCGTAACTTGGGACAAGGCGCCAATACTACATGTATATACATCCTACCTCTCAAGATGGTTCAGATAGAGTACATGCGATTTCGGTCCTGCCATGCCTGAATCAAATACGGGAGGCTCTATAGATGAATATTGGCGCTGATATACTTGAGAAACATGCCATGACAGTGGTTGAGTAAGAAATTTGAATTTTGAGAGATTTCATGCGAAGCGACTGGATTAAACTGGACTCGTTGAAGCCATGCAATCTCTTGCTTGGAAGACTCTCATCCACCATTCCCAAGGTAGTTTGGCAGCGGCGATCCGAAACTCGTGTTCTGGTGGGCCAAGCTTAAATGCGTCGTCACCTCAGCGCTGGTGGACTTGCTGAACATGTCTTGCGGAAAGCGAGAAACTTTTGAGTCACTCTCTGTAGGTAAGCCTGGGATGAAGATTCTTTTGAACATAAACATTCTCGGAAGCCGGGTGCTCCATGGCGCCGTAGATTATCAGTCGAAGTATTCGACCGCACATATAATCTCATCCCTCATTTCTGCATATACAACAGAAGCAAGCAGCTAGATGTCAAACGGTGAACCCAACTCCCCTTGCCTTCCCACCCGCTCTCCCACCCACACCCCTCACAACTCCACCTCCACCAACCACGGCGCATTCCGCGCCCTCCCCTCCCCATCCCTCACCGCCGCATTAACCATCAGCGTCTGCCCCTCCTTCCTCATCTCCTCCCTACTCCCCGGACTGATCTCCGCATACCCCTTCCTCCGCGCCCGATTCCTCCCCACAAACTCCTCGGGCAAACAAACCATCCCATCATCATCGTAATCATCATCATCATCATCCTTGAAACCCTCCTCCTCCTCTTCCCCCTCGAAATACGCCCTCTGCGCCCCATACCCCCCATGCACATGCCCGAAACAGCACAGCCGCGGCCGCGCCCGACACACCGCCCGCCGCAGGTGCTCGCATCCGGCACTCGCCCCGTCCGCCGTGGCGTCGAGCACGTACTTGGGCGGGCCGTGCGTCATGACGACGTCGACGCCGGCACTGGGGATGGCGGAGGTCGGCGTGGAGACGTTGGTCGCGTGCGCGGGCGTGGTACTCCTCGCGCCCGGCGGGTTGAAGCGGTCGTGCGCGGACGGGTACTGGAAGGCGGAGGCGCCGGATTGCGGCGTCCAGGGGGAGGCGTAGATTGTGAAGGTGCGGGGGGTGGTGGGAGCTCCGTTGTTGTTGTTGTCGTCGTCGTCGTCGTAGCGGGGCGGCAGCGTGAACGTGTGCGTGCCTTCGTCGAGGTAGGTCACGCCGTGGTGGGCGGCGGTCTCTCTGACCAGCTTGAGGGCGGCGGCGTGCGTGGCGGGGGAGCCGCCGCAGGCGGTGGTGTAGTAGGCCTCGTCGAGGGTGATGTCGTGGTTGCCGGCGATGATGAGGCGGAGGGTCGCGGGGATGGAGGACAGTTTTCGGATGGCTTTGGTGAGGCTGGGGAGGGTGCCGGTTTCGGTGAGGTCGCCGCAGTGGAGGACGACGTCGACTGGGGTGGTGGTGAGAGGCTGGAAAGAGGAGTCGGTGTCCTCGTCGTCGTCGTCGTCGTCGTCGTGTGTGTCGGACATTATGAGGAACTTGACGGGCTGCTTTGGACGGGGCTCAGCGCCTGGTGTTGGTCGTTTTGCAGGTCTTTCGGTGGGCGCTGGACTGTCGGATCGGGACCTTGAGCGTTTCCTTGATGTTTGCGCTTTGGCGGCCACGGACGGTGGAGGGATTTGAAAAGGTGTTGTAGTCGACATGTTTATGGTGGTGCAACACGTTCTTTGTTCTGGTTGTTTTGATGGATGTTCAGTCACTTCAGCCTGAGTGAGTAGTCGTCCGTCTTGGTGGAAGTTTGTTAAAAAAGAGGGGAAGGGGACAGGTTCTGAATTCTTTTTATTCCCGTCTTATGTGGCTTTCGACGTTGAAAGGGGGCCTATAAGACCCCGACCCACAGCTCGCACCATGCTTCCGTAGCGCTTTTTCTTAGTGCGCAATATACCATTACCAGTCCTGTGGGCTTTGGATGAGTCATAACGTTTTCATTTCATGGATGGGTAAAAGACCCTGTAGCATCCATGTAGACCCCGAAGCGAAGTAAAGCGTAGCTGGGGTGGATATCTATAGCGCAAGCATACGTGGCGATAGAAAGGCGCGTGTAGCCGCGCTATCTGGGGCCAAGGGCTCGAAGACGCGAAATTAATAGTTACCCTGAAAATGATTTAGCCAATAGATTGCGAGGATGACGCCAACAATTAGGGATTTTTTTTTCTTGGCCTTACCGGAGCAACAGAAGCTATGAAAGTGCCTATGGTGACACGGTCGCAACAGCAAACCATCAGTTCAAGCTATATATGAACTGAGACATGGATGCTCTTAACCACATTCAAGATAATTTCCATGTCCGGACACTGACCTCGACTGCCCACAGAGAAGGGATGCAAGTTTCTTTGTCAGGGAATACGGGATCTCACCGTTGACACCTAACCCAGCCATGACTATTCCCAACCACCATCGAACTCAACGAGTAGGATTTACTGAAATACGAACTACCAAGTCTCGCCTGATCCTGCCTTTGTAACAACCTTCCACAATGTCCATGCACCAACACGCTGAAGCCCAGCCACGCCAAAGCACAACAATGACATTGTTCGTCCACATCCCCGCAAACAACCTACATTGTTCCCGCAACACCTCCCATTGTTCACCAAAACATCACCTCGCAAAATGCTAATATAAGGCGCCTCAGCCATGCCTCCCATCCCACTTCCTCACCGCACCCCGTTGAAGCCAGAAGTCGAGCCTTCAACAGCACATTGAGTTGAACTCACGCTTCGAGAGCCCGGCTTCAGACCACTTCAACGACACTCGGTCAACCCACTCGATACACACACACCACCATGGACGACGGAGGAGACGCCCACCGCAACTCGACGGCCTTCGAGCACTCCCCCACCGCTCTGGGCCCTCTCGCCGACTTCGCGCGGACGCCTCTGTACCCCCCTCCTCCACCACCTCCTCCTGCTGGGCCGCCGCGTCGGCCCTCGTCGCCTCGTCCGCACCGTCCCTCATACGAGCCTCTGCTGGCCACGGGGACATGCACCTGCGGCGCCGGTCCGTCCACCATCCGTGCTCCCGAGCAGCAGGCTGCTCCCGCGGATGATAGTGATGATGCCGCTGTCGACACGACGACGCATAGAACGCACCTGATCCCATGGTCCGCCCTCGACGACATCGACGACGACATCGACGACGACGACCGCGATGCCTCCCCGACGACGGCCACGCGCGCCTTCAGCTGCAACCCCTTCACGGGCGAAGAGCCCGACTACGACTCCATCACCCGCCCCGCGCGCCTGATTGCCATCACCACAACCATCGCCGAAGTCCTCATGGATGACGATGATAGTGACGACAGCGACGACGACGACGACAAGGAGACGCCTCCGTCCCCGACGTCGGCCTACTCCGACGACCTCTTCGGCGCCGAGCACGACACCGACTTCGAGCCGCACTACCCGGAGACGACGCGGCGCCCCACGGCGCTCGACCAAGCCCAGGCCGAAGTCAACCGCATGCTGCGTTCGCAGCAGCAGCGCCGCCGCCCCATGACCGACATCAGCCACGCGGCTGTCATGGACCCCGTTACCAATCCGAGGTCGATGAGGTCGGCGTCTGCTGTTGTTCGTGCAGGCAACCACCACGGTCATGATGATGGCGACTTTGAGCCGCACTACCCGGAGACGACGCGGCGTCCGACGCCGCTGGACCAGGCGCATGCCGAGGTCGACCGCATGCTGCGCGCGCAGCAGCAGCAGCAGGAGTCGGCCGCCGGACCGTCGACGACGACGACTCCCACGCTTAGCAGAGGCTCGATGCATGTGCAGCCGCTGCGTGTCACGTCGCCGCCGCCGAGGCCGGCTCGTGCTGGCACGGAGCAGCTGCAATCGGGCTGGTCGTCGACGACCGACGACTGCCACGACGACGAGGGCAGCGCCGATGATGACGCCGTCCAGGTTGGCGTGGCGCTCGTTCTGGACATCGGCGCGTTGGGCACCCTCATGCCCTTCCCCGACCCGATCCGGATCACCACCACCACTGCCACACAGGTGAGAACTGCCCCTTACAGTGACCCTCTCTCGCCCCTTTCCCCCACCCTCCCTCCCATCCTCCAGCCCCCGCACCCCACTTCCGCCCCCGGCGCCGGCGCCGGCCCGCAGCCCATGTGGATCCAAGCCCTGACCGCGCACAACCTGCTCCCGACCCTGCCCTCGCACCCGGCGTCTGTCATCCGCAGTTTCCTGACCGCCATGCGCGGCGTCGACCTCGAGCGCAAGCACCTGGTCAACCGGATCGAGGTCGGCCGCACCAGCCTGACGAGGCGCCACAGCGTGGCCCAAGAGTGGCTGCGGTGCCGCATGATGGAGCTTATCAATCGGCTGTATGAGCATGACAGCTACCATTGGCCGATGCTGGAGGTTCTCGAGTACGGCGATGCTGACAGTGGGGATGATGACGACGACGAGGACATGGTCCAGCACGAGCGGTGCCGGATGGATAGCGTGAGCGATTGGAACCCCGACTTTGATTGGGACGAGCCGTTCGCTCCCAGCTGGTACCGTCGCGGAAGCGACAGCGGCGACAGTGATGACGCCCTGCTTTCTCCGAAGACGCATCCCGTTGCCGGATGGAACAGCGGTTTCAGCTGGTCTCAGCCTGCGGCTGCCAGCCGCGGTAGTAGCAGTAGCTCATGTTCTCCTACTGATGATGAGGCTCTGGTTTCGCCGAAGACAACGGCGGATTTCGAGAACATTCCTTGGTCGAACATGACGGGGACGTTTGAGAATTTCCCCTGGTAAGTGAGCCGGTGAGTTCTCTTCACCTGTCCTCTCGTGTATGTCCTTCGGCTCTACTTTGATGCTGGTTAGCATATGATCTGGAGTCCGCAAGCTTGTGTAAGCTTGCGATTTAGGAGGAAAACAAAAACCCTAGAAAAGCTAATAAAAAACTTGAAAAACAAAAAGTATCCCAGATCACAGATTCGTGACAGCTAAAGCCAAGTGCTCTAATTGGCTAGCGCCCATGACTGTATGATCAGATCAAGCAGGAAGCTGCTCGTTTCTAGTATTGTGAATGAGATATACTCCAACATGTGAGATACTGATGCAATGTGCGATTCTGGACCTCGACGAGAGTAAATCCCCCCAAAAGGTCAATAAACAATCAAATCAGGCCATCAGACCTGCTGAGAGAGTCCATCACAAAATTAGGAACAAAAAGTAATACCCGCTGGAGCTTACACAACTATGAGAGCAATCTGACGTTGTCGTTCATAGGTTGAATTGTCCAACCACGGGCAAGGCTAACCGCACATTTTGGAGAAATCAAAGGATCTGAACGGAAAAGAACTAAAGGGGCTAGAGTAACGCGTGAAATCTTCTCGGTCAAAGAAACCAAGGGTTCAGAAATAGGGAAATGAAAGCGGAAGATGCATGGCAAGTGTGAGAAAGAACAAAGGAACAAAGCCGCCATGCTATCACATCACAGCAAGCCAAGGTCTGCGACAATAGGCAACAGATCAAGCTCAAAGAAGATGGAGTGCTCGTCCGCACTTGCTTCGTCGTGAAGAGCTCTGTTTTGGTCACAACCCTCGCATTTGCTTAGGTGATCGTCGTAGATGGGCTTGTGATCCCAAACGGGCTGCTGGTCTGTCTTTTTCAAGATGTAGTCGACGATTTTGTCCTTGAAGCCATGATATATCTCGCAATCATCCATGTAGTCAATTAGATATCCTTTGATGTCGGAATTCTTGTCCGGATAAGCATCAAAAAGATTCACAAGGAAAATGGAGTCCAGGGAAAGTGCATCCCTGGCATGTTCAAAGAGCTCCGGCCATGAGTCCTCGGACGTGACAAGATTGCAGTCATAGAGAGTGAGACTCCGCAGGGATGAGGACTGGTTGATCAAAAAAGCCGATAGGGATCGACCGCCGGTATATGCGGAGAGTTTCAATCGACGAAGCTTTTTCCAACGGTTGCCTTGAGTGCTGAGTGGGTTGAAGAGATCCCACTGCTCTCCAATGTCCTCACCGCCTTTACGCTCAACGAAGTTAAGGTCAAGGTCTTGGAGCATCTCGGCGGTTCCGAGAAACGCGGCGAACGAGTCCAGCATGGCTTTCACGGTCAGGGACTCGCCTGACAAAGAACATCTGAGGTAGGTGAGGTTGTAAAAAGACGTGCGCATCAGCTTGACTTCTGATTCGCAAGTGTCGCGGAGGGATCCATTGGCCAAGGTGCCCCAGAGATTATGTCGTAAACCATGCTCGGTCCAGAAGGCAAGGCCAGAGGTGCCGATATCGAGGGACTTTAGATTGCTCTCACCCATGGAGTGGGCCCAACCGAGCCCGCGGAGCACGAAAGTCAGTGGTAGCATGTCGTCTTCATGATCGGCCACTTGGCGCCTTCGTCTGTCGGGAACGGAAAAGCGAAGGCCACGCCAGCAAAATGGGCCTGTTCTTTGCCACCAACGTCGCTGCTGGACAGTCTTCAGGTTCTTGAATCTGGCGAGGGCCTCGTCGAAGTGATCGCAAGCATAGGCCATTTGGTTATCTGGCTCGAGCTTGCTTGTGTAGTATCGCTCGCCTAGAGACTTCAAGCCGCTGGACCTCGAGCGAACACAGAACAGGAACTGTGACAAGGCGAGGCATTCAGCTTTGTACTCTTCGTAGAGATCGAGTATCTCGTCCATCATCCACGGAGAGCGAGCATTGAGCGGCCCGCCCGGATCTGGAGTAAGATCAGAAATCCATGGGCGTACAGGCGGCTTGTGCGACTTACAATCAGCGCGATTCTCGATGTGGGTGTACCACTCTCTCCAGGTGCCGAAAAGGACCAGCTGCGAGCTTTCGAGAATGACCAGCTGTTTCACGTGATAGCGCAGGACATGGTGGAAAGCGACGTTGATCATGCGCTCAATGCTGTCTTTCTGGATCTCGAGATAGATGGTGTTGAACAAGTGAGCGGCAGCGATGCGGGAAAGCGTGCGGCAGGCTAATCGGAGTTGCTTCTGCTCGGCATAATCGGTGTAGCCAGTAATCATGTCCCATATTTCCTCGGGAAGAGTGGGGACGCTGGGCGCGCGAGATCGAGGGGTATCCTGCGCCATGAGCAGCAACCGCGAAGAGAGGAATCCACGACCCTGGGGTTCTTTTGCCTCTCTCACTCCTGGCTTGGACGTCGGACAATGACGTCGGCGACGAGGGCCGTGCGTGAGCTGTTGAGTGTGATCGTCGTGATGGACACCAAGGCCAAATGATGAGTGTGAGGGTGTCGTTCACAGGATTGTCTGAGCTGGTTACATGCGGGTGACAGACGGGATGAAAGGGAGACAAGGCGACAGGATGTGACGAGGGAGAGGTGAAGCGGAGTCGGCTGAGCGATCCCGTTCTTGCAAGCGGAGGAGTCGCGCGACCGCCCGAAGAAGGCACGGAAGGTTCAACACTGGACCGCGTAACCACCGTCACGTGCAGCAGCCCTCTATCCCCGCTTATCCGTGCATGCGGAGCGGACATGTGGAGCCAGGTGTCGCAGGAGCATTGAACTTTGATATGATACCTATCCGGATGACTCGTGTGCGGCTATGGCGGGCAAGCATGCCCACGCCGCGGACTTGAGCAGAGTCGGCCCTTTTGAGATGGAGGGACAGTATAAGGAGCGAATCTATCTTTTTTCTTTGTTGCTGAAACATGGTTTATTGCTTGGCTCCTCCCTCTAATGCTTCTGGGGGTGGCAGCTGGGCCTCGCGGAATACATGTTTGGACGATAAGCGTGAAATCGACAAGATATGCACCATCGCACGTTGGACTGCGATCCGCAGATTGGGTTGCGAGATACGCTTCGGGACAGGTCAATCACTGATTCACTGTGCTGCGCCCTGATGCAGTCGTGCAGAACGCCGCGCAATTGTTGCGTCACCGAGTAAAAATAGCAGCTGCAACGAGCTGCGCCCGTTGGATGCTGTCGCACAGCGTGAATGGACATCAAATGCGTCTACAGCTGTAGGGGTCTAGAGAACCAAACACGGGTTTGTGACGCCTACAGCTATGCTGGCCAAGTAGACATACGGCAGCGAGCAGAGGGACGCGCCCATGACACGCGCTATCATGTGATGCCAGCCCGCACCGCGTCTCTGGAGCATGACAGCAGATGCGAAAAGCTCGTTTATGCCGGCGCAGGAGCATTACTCAGAAGGCTCGGTTAGCGCGTGGGGCAGGCGGCCGAGAGGCGTGGCATAGGACGATGATTCAACGCCGAGTCGGGAGCGTCGGCGCGTGCTGGAACGCTGAGGCTTGGAAGCTGCACCAGCTGCACCCAGCACCCAGCACCGGCCGACGAGCAACGCGGCCCGCGGCGGAGTCGCTCATCGCTTCAAGGCACGCGTTTTTCCCGCGCCTAAGCTCGACCGCAGCAACCGCTGATGCCCGGCCGTCCTGTACTTATACCATGCCAGCCTGCCCCACGCCCTGTGACTGCTGCTGAGCTCCCAAGCCCCACGTCATCGGCCCCCTCCACCCTCGGGCTGCCTGCAACTGCGCCACATCCTCTCCGCCTTCCAACACCACCACAACGCCCACCATGCTAGTCTCCATAGTCCTGGACGAGCCGCTGCCGCACTACACAAACCTCGACACCATATCTGGCCGTGTCGTCATCCGCGCCACCAGCAACACCAGCGTATCCTCCGTCGTCGTCAAGCTAGAGGGCGAGAGCAGGACCAGGCTCGTCCCGCCGCAAAACCCGCAGTTCAACAATAGCAAGCCGCGACCTGTCTTGGAGATCCACAAGGTGCGCCAGCCGTAGTTCTGTGCTGCCTTCGCGCGCTAATGCCCAACAGATTCTCTACAAGACAGACGTCGTCTTCCCGCCGCCTAGCCTGCAGACAGCCGACTGGGAATCTCGCAAGTTCACCCTCAACCTCGGAAACTATGAATACCCCTTCTCTTTCAAGGTTCGTCAGTCCCGGGAGCGTCGCTACAATCATTGCAGCCAGAATTGCTGACTGCGCGCTGCAGCTACCGTTCAACAACGCCTGCCACACCACAACCTCTCTCACCGGAGGCTTCAACCTCGCTACCCTAGAGGTTGCCCGCCCTCCCACGAAACACGTCAAACAGACCCTACCTCCTTCCCTTACCGGTTTCCCGGGCGAAGCCGAGATCCGATACTATGTCAAGTGTACCGTCAACCGACCCTCGATATTGAAGGAGAACCCGAGAGCTGTACGCCGGCCGCCTTTACTCGTTGCTGCACATTAGGTGCACGCCTGCTTACGCTACACAGTTCGTCCACTTCAACTTCCTCCCCATCGAACCTCCTCGCCCCCAAAAATTCGATGGTGAAGCGTATGCGCGTCGTCAGCATCAATTCAACCCCAGATGGGTTCCGCCTACCGAGCGCAAGTCCGGACTCTGGGATAAGCTAAAGGGCGAAAAGAGCACTCCTCCCGGAAGTCCGACAAAAGATGGCGTGGACTTGGTGCGCTTCAGCCTCGATGCACGTCTGCCCAACCCGGCGATATTGACGTTGAACGATGACCTACCGCTGAGGGTCTTGGTCAAGCAAATCAACGAGCGCCACGACCCCGTGTACCTTCAAATGCTCCAAATCGAGCTCGTAGGCTACACCTCGGTGCGCGCCCACGAGCTCACGCGCACCGAATCGAACAGCTGGATCATCGCCAGCTTCAGCAACATGGCCATCCCCATCGGTGCTCCCTCAGACGTTGCTGGCACCGAGACACCCATCAACCCAGAGTACTGGTCCGGAAAGCCCCTCCCTAACTCGGTATCCCCCTCTTTCGACACATGCAACATCTCACGGTATTACGAACTCGAGGTGCGTGTTGGCCTTGGCTACGGCTCGTACAAGCACGGCCAGGACCAGCTGGTCGTTCTCCCGCTGCGCCTTCCTGTCAAGGTCTTCTCGGGTATCGAGCCACCGCAGGCACTCCTCCACGCCATGGCTTCGGCCAGGCCGACTCTGCCCCAACGCAAGCCCGTCCCTGGCTCTGCTGCTATGTCGCCTCTGAAGACGGGCGGCCCCGTCATGGACGGTGGTGCACTGCCTCCATACCAGACCCCAATGACGCCCGTCGAGGGGGGAGCAGGACACGGCCCGGCGCCCCAAGGCCAATATGCCTCAGGTCACGTCGAGACTTATGAGGATGCGCCTCCGAGTTACGAAGATGCGGTTGCGCATAACATGCCGGCAGTGGACGGACCGCGGAGAGACTACGCGCCGCCACCGGTCCCAGAGGACGCACCGAGGTTTAGTCATGACGAGAAGAGATGACGAGGGTGAAGTAAAATGAGTTTGCAGTCTCTAATGGTATATATATCACGGGGAAGGCGTCAGAGAGCTCGGCTTTCACCATCAGTGTTGCGGAGGATTTGAGGGGATTTGGTGGATGGAGGATGCCTTGGAGGGCGCGGTGGATACCCCGAAGTCCAGTGTCTGTGGCTTCAGATTCAGATTTCAGCATTAATATTGACCAATTACGACTCATAGATTCAACACTACATATTGCACTCTTCATGAAAGCTACGTCTCTATTGAATAAGCACTCAACGTCGAAGTAGTCGCATTTGCGTGGGTGGATGTTGAACGGGCGTAGGTTCGAACGGACCAACGGCACGAAAACGCGCCGTATGACGGGCGGTTGTGGCCGTATTCGGGCGGTCGGGCTGTCGCGGGGCACTAGCAGAGCCACAACACAGCCTCCCAGCTAAGCCACCACCGTCCAGCTGGTCAGTTCAATAATCACCTCATCTCTCCGATTCTCGAACAGGGATGGGGATCCTCACGGGGAAAGGGTTTGCATCCCGACCGACTCATGAGACGGGGACGGAAAGCTTGGTGGTGCCCGAAGAACCCGAAGAGCACTAGGTACGATGGTTTTAAGTTATTCCTGCGAGTCGCGGACCCCGAGAATGCCGAGAGGCCGAGAGCTAGCCAATGGGCCATATGGAGTGCATGGTTTGGAGCTCCAGCTGGCTTTCTCACCAGCTACATCATCAGCCTTGGCTTGCCTTGCTTCTGCCATCTTGCGACCGTGGGCCTTCTGCATGCACCTTGCCCCGCGCCCCTCCCTGCCACATGTCGACATCGCCCAGCACCTTGTTTCGCTTTTCTGGCGCGTGCTAGGCAGCAGTTTTGAACTTCAAGCTTCCCCGCAACCCTCTTCGTCGGGGGGCCGCGCTTTGCGTGTTCTGTCGCACCGGCGCTTTCTGCTGTTGCTCTGTCTTTTCGTCACTTCTCCACTTTCACGTGCCATAGACAGCTGTTGACAGTACCGCTTCTTGTTTTGGGCACGGCTGTCGTCAGTCAACATCACCTTCGCATCGACCTACCTCTCTGCCCACCTCACCTCCACAACCTTCTGCCGCCACGCAAGCATCCAACCTACCTGCCTCCCTCAAAGGTCGAATTATCCCAAACCCACAACAGAGAAAAGGAAACGGGGGGAGAAGAAGAAGAAGGGCCCAGCACAAAACCACACCATCAAGGCCCCCAATACCTAAACAACCGCAAACCGGTTCGCCACACCACACCACTCCAACAATCCCACCACACCACACACCATGCCACCACCACCACCACCAACCACACCACCACCACCGCTGTCCCCCCCTCCCCCCACCGACGACGACGACACCCACGCCCTCCACCACACCAACTCCCCCCCCTACCACCTCGCCCCCGCGCCCTCGCACCCCGCGCCCCCCTCCCCCGCCTTCACCAGCTCCACCATCTACCGCACCCCCGACGAGTCCTACTCGGACGCCGACACGGACGACTGGACCGACGGCATCGCCACGCCCGTGACGCTGTCGGCGTCGTCGGTGCGGGACGGCAACGACGAGAACGATGACGAGGATGGGCGGATGAGGAGGAGCGGGAGGGGCGGTAGGGGGAGGAGTAGCCCGCGGTACGAGGACCTCCCGCCGAGTTACGAAGAGGCGCAGGCGGCGCAGCAGGGTGGAGGGGGTGGGAATGCGCTGGGGTCGCCGCCGCCGCCGTTTTTTGTGGAGGCGGGAGCAGGAGGGGCCGGGGCGGACCCGCTTCTGCCGGCTGTGGAGCGGCTCGTTCTGCGCGAGAAGGAGCGCGCGGCGAGCGAGCACGAGAACGGGTCTGAGGCGCGCAGCGCGTGGAGCGGGTCCGGCGGTGATGGTGTGCCGAGAGAAGGCGGGCGGCGGCAGTTCAGCTTCGCGGCCGTCGAGGGGCTGGCGAGCGAGCACCACGGCGTGCTGGAGGTCGCGCTGCAGTGGGCGCATCCGGCGTGGCAGCAACAGCGTGATGGTGCGGACAGGAAGGAGCCGGTCAAGACGGCGACGGCGCCGCTGGGGAGGGTCGTTGCGTTGCCGCAGAGGAGTGGTGGTGGTGGTGGTCGTCAGGGCGGCAGCAACGACAACAACGTCGGCGTCGATGAGTACAGCAACACGACCACGACCACGACCACCCTCGCCTTCTCCCGCGCCTACGCTCCCATCCTCTCCGACCATGGCGTCCCGCTATCCGCTTTCGTCGCCTTCCTCGACGGCCTCAACGCCGTCTGCCACGCCGCGCGGGCCCCAGCATCATTCTCCACGTCATCTCCCCCAACCAACAACAACACCAACGACGATGCCGACGACGGCGACCTCGAGCTCGTCGAAACATACCTCGCCCGCGCCAACGCGCTCTTCTTCGCCCACAGGGGGCTCCTCGCGCGCGTCGTCGACGTCGACGCCCTGCTCGACGACGTCCTCCGGCTGCGCAACGACCGCCGGCCGCACGTGCGCGACGCGCTGGCGGCGGACGCGGCGCGCGCGGGGCTGAGCGAACGGGAGCGCGTCGAGGCGCTGGATCCGTGGGTGGAGACGAGGCTGGTGTGGGAGGGGCTGCCGGAGGCGATGGTCGGGCTGTGGGACTTGCGGGGCCAGCAGGGGAGGAGGGGGCGAGATGGTGGGGATGGTGAGGAAGTGGAGGAGGAGAGCGAGATGGTTAGGCGGGAGAGGGAGCAGGCGGAGGAGATGGAACGGCAACAGCGACAGCAGCAACAGCAGCAACAACAACAGCACCAGCGTGATAGCGCCGCTACTGCTGTAGGAAAAGGCGGCGGCAGCGGCGGCGGCGGCGGCGGCAGCGGTGCTATCGTACCAGGAGCATGGCCCTCATCGACGACCCCTCCCGCGGCGGCGGCACCAAACCTCCCCGCCGCCACCCCTACGACCGCCACCGCTTCCGCCCACGCATCCGGCGAGTTCTATCCCGACGCCTCTGCCGCCGCTCCCCGCGCCAACGCTTCTCTATCACCGCTACTCGACGAGCCCGGCCCCTCATCCTCCTCCTCCAACACCCACAACAACACCACCATCTTCCCCCCCATCCCCCCCCTCCACCCCCTCCCCGCCTTCATCGGCCCGCCCTTCCCGCCGCACGCCCCGCCGCCCTTCGGCGACCAGGCGCGCTGGGCCGACTGGGGCCAAGGGCTGGGCCGGCGCTGGGCCGACTGGGGACAGCGCGTCGGCGCCGACTGGGCGGCTTGGGGGCAGGATTTGGGGAGTCGGTTGGGCGGCGGACAAGCGCAGCTGGATGCTGCTGCTGCTGCTGGTGGGAGGGGGGGTTTCGGGCCTGGTGGTGGGGGGAGAGGGGGGTGGGGAGGATGGGGCCCAGGAGGTGGTGGTGGTGCTGGTGGTGGTGCTGGTGGTTGGGGTGGAGGTGGTGGTGGTGGCAGGTGTGGGCGCGGTGGGAGGGGGCTGTGGGGTGGCAATGCTGCTGGGTTTGGTGGCGTTGGTGGTGCGGGATTGGGCCGAGGGCCGGGTGGTGGGTTTAACGGTTTTGGACCGCATGGCGGGCACCTCTTTGGCGGGCCGAGAGGGTTCGGGTTCGCGGGAAGAGGCGGCGGCCCTGGACGCTGGGGAGGGGGAGGAGGTGGTGGTGGTCATGGTGGGGGACGTGGCGGCCGGGGACACCAGCTTCGTGGCGGTTGGGGCAACAATGGCCCTGGGTCGTTTGGTGGTCAGTACGGCACGACGTTCAATGGTGGTCCTGGACGACATGATGGCGGTAGCGGTGGCGGCGGCGTGCCGAACGAAAGCACAACCACGCTCAATACTCGCATCAGCCTCGAGGATCATGACGATGATGACTCGATCTCGTCATCATCCTCGTCGTCCTCTTCCGACAGCGACTCAGACCTCGATGAGATCGAGTTCTCGTATCTCAAGCGCATGCGGTCGGTCGAGGAATCGGCGTCTGATGCCCTCGCCAAGGGCAAACGCTCCCATGCCGAGGTCGAGCGGGAGCGGAGCAAGGCGATCGAGAAGGCAAAGGCGGATCGCGAAAAGGCCGAGCGGAAGCTCGAGGCCAAGCGGAAGAAGGACGAGGGCAAGCGTGAGATGAAGGCGATGAAGAAGGAGTGGAAACAGCGCAGGTCGACGGCACGTGAGCCGGGCAAGGCCGGAAAAAAGGAGAGGAAGGCGGAGAAGAAGAGACTCAAGAAAGAGTTCAAAAAGGCAAGGAACAAGTGGAAGGAGGGCAGGAAAGAGGAAAGGCGCGAGCGCAAGAGTGAGAGGCGGGAGAGGAAGGACAGGCGGCGTGGTGATGGTGGAGGTCGCCGTGGCGCGAGGGTGGAGGACGAGTTGAACCGACACGGTGGTCCCGGCTTGGAACTCGGCGTCGTACCGACGATAGATGAGGATGCTCGGGCTGCGCCTGGTGTCGATGCTGGTGCGTCGTCCGCGCCGGCGCCGTCGTCGCCGCCGCCACCGCTGCTGTGGGTCGTGGTGGAAAATCTTGGTAACTGAGCGGTGAAGCTGAGGCGCCGCCAAATGAAATTTTCATGCGTTGCGAACGAGGCGCTTAGCGGGGCGGGATTTGTTGGGAGATCGATACTGTATCAGGCGGGATGGAGTCTCATGACTTGTACTGCTATCGATGAACACTGCGCCTAAGGTGGCTGAAATCGGTTTCTTGTAGCGATAAATCTGCCATTGACATGTTTCACGGATTCTGGGAAGTTGCGGAAGGATCGAAGTAAGGCTGGTTTCCCATCGTGAGACAGGCGGCGGGTGGACCAGACATCAATGCAGTAATGCAGAGGTATATCACGGCTAGCTTCGAAAGGCGAAGTGGTGATGGCCCGATCACTGATCCTCCGGCGCAAGAGCCCGACTTCCACCGAGCTGAAGTGCCGCCGTGACTTATACCCGTACCGCCTGCCGTTTCTCCGCATCAAGATCGTCGGGCGTGGCTTGGCTAGCGGCCGTTGGTGTTGAGGAGCATCCGGTCCCTGATCCCTCCACGTGTTTAGCCCGCTCGCTAAAATCTCCCCATACGTCACCCCGACAGGGGCAGCCCCTTTCGCTCCCTCCCCGCATCCGCCAATCTTTTTTTTTCTTCCAACGCAACGACATTGCTTATCTCCTGTGACCCTTTTCCATGCGTGCTCAGAGCACAAGCCATGCGTTGGGAGATTCCCGAGGTGCTTGTTTCCCGCAGATACGGTTGTGGCTTTCGGTGCAGCCGTCACTTCGGGTCTTGAAGCAGTCACTGCGCTCCAGTACCCGGCCCTCCGGCGTGCGGGTTTGATCTTCTCGGAGCTCAGCCATTAAGCAGTTAGCTATAGGGGAATCCGAATTTTGATAACTGTGCTAGCCGCCAAGGCCACTGTCAACTAGCCAGTCACAGTTAAGAACGGCGGTCTTTTGCCCAAACCAAAGGACCAGGGCGGCGATTGTCTGCCGCGCATCCCATCAGGAGAAAGGGTGGCCTGCAGTTCTTGGCAGCACATAGAGGAGTTCAGGAACCCGAGTGCCGCACGCTATACCGCTCCTTCGTGAGAGAGGGGCTTATCACCATCATCTAAGCCTTCCGAGTCGGTTCTGGTACCTGCGGCGCAGCGAGCCGGCAACATATCTGAGCTTCCCGCCTCAGTGGAGACGTTATCAAACTACGATTCATTCAGCCCTGTGACGTATGCAGCCAAGATGGGTAAGCTTCTTCTTGGACTCAAATTTCTGCCCGAAGTCATCTGAACCGTTGCGGACAGTATTTCGGAAAATTAGGGCGATCCGGCGATCGCTATATGCGAGGTACCCTGAGCCTCAGCGGCTGCGCCTCAGCCTTCGCCGCCACACGCCAATGCTGGTGATGGCTTGTCCGAGGGCTGTCGAGAAGTGTGATGAGAATTATTGTCTGTTTCTGCGGTCGAGACATCTGACAGCGCGTGGTGGCGTTTGCGCGGGCTGAGGCCGAAAAAGCGGCGAGCCGAGCTTTCACGACAACCCAGTTAATGATCTTCAACGTTCAATTGTTTTTGACTCGGGAGAGGGGAGATTGGTTACCAAGATAAGGCAGCTGAAACCCCGCAGATCCTCCTCTTATCGACCCTGACTGCCAGAATCAGCCATCACAGGGTCACGGCTCACGATTCAGCGCTTCGCTGAACCAATCCGGCGGACATGCCGCTAGACTGCATGAGGGCCTGTGGAAAGACCGGACCGGGACACGGGCCCTGCGCGGCAGCCGGGTGCCTGCAGGGACGAGCTGAGTCTCCCAACAGAGGGCGAGTTTGAGGAGGATGACGATCGTCGTATGTTCGGCCATGCCATGTGTGATCCATGTTCGTCATCACAGTTGGTAGTTGCGAATAGCCGGGAGGAGAATGAGCGACGAAGAGCATATAAGAAACAGTGTTTCCCGCTCCGAACAAAACCCCATCCCGCAACAGCCTGCTCTCCAGCATCATCCCACGTTCTCTACTTTCCAAGCCAACCTTTGTCACTCTTTCGACACCAACAAAACCATCAAAATGAAGTTCTTCTCCGTCTTCGCTCTTTCCAGCCTTTTCGTTGGCTCCATCGCCGCCCCGGCCCCGGCCGAGAAGCGCCAGGATGTCGGCTCCGTCCTGAACATCGTCACTGGTCTGCTCAGTGAGGTCCAGCAGTACACCGGCGTCATCAGTGAGCGCAGCCCAAGCTCTTTCTCAACCGACTCATCGCTAACAACAACACAGACTCCACCGCCACCAGCCTCGGCCCCCTCTCCACCCTGAAGCAGAACCAGACTGCTGCCAACACCTACCAGGACAAGGTCGACGGCCTCACCTCGCTCGTCCAGGGCACCGTCACCAAGGTCACCAGCCTCCAGCAGACCGCCGGTGGTCTCACCTCCCGCGCCGATGATGCCAACGCCATCGCCGGCGTCCTCTCCAACGTCCTCCTTGAGGTCAACGGCGCCATGAACAACGTCGACGGCACCCTCGGTCTTGGTAAGTGCCCCCTGAGGACGGCGTCTCGCAGGGAAGCCATGTACTAACATCCCGATCAGGCTCTCTCCTCGGTCTCGCTACTCCCCTCACCGACACTCTCTCCGGTCTCCTCGATGGCGTTGAGTCCCTCGTCGGCGGTGTCCTGAGCCTTGTCGAGGGTCTCCTCGGCGGTGTCCTCAAGACTCTCGGCCTCAGCAACGCTCTGAACGGCCTCGTCGGCAGCAACGGCATCCTGTCTGGCCTCCTCGGCGGCACCCTCGGCAACAGCTCCGACGGCCTCCTCGGCGCTTTGTAAGCGGATTATACGATAATCTATCTGGTGGTGGTATTACGACTTCGATTCTTTACAGCTGTCATAATTGGGCCTTCTCTGTCTGAGCTCGAGAGCGTTGGGATACGATGCGAGTAGGCTCGGCTTCTGTACAATAGTTAGTCTGCTGTCGAGGCAGTAGCAGCAATTGATTGTTGAAAAGCGCATCTGTGTCGTGTGCCTGTGACCTTCGCGCGCGGCTTAGACTGAAACCGGCTGACGAACGCAGGCAGTGCGGAGAGGGGGCGATTGGCTCGGCTGGCTGAGGCCGGGTGATGCGCAGCAGATCGAGGACGGAACGGTCGGGGCGGCGGCGCGACATCCCTGCGCCCGCCAGCCGCCGTTGAAGAAGCTGGCCGCGCACTCGCTCGGTCGGGCGCCCCAGTGTCGCATTGATGAGGTCTGGATAGGGTGGACGTGTCGGCGTTTCACGGGCGCAGAAACGGGGGAGTTTGGGACACGCGCGGGGCCCACGCTGCGGCCTGAGGAGCTTCCAGCGCAGCACTACTTAGCCGCTGCTGCGCGTCGGCCCTCGTCTCTCCCGCTGTCCGCCCAACCCCAAAACACTCTGCTAGGGTCGCAGGTCTCACGACCAGCCCGTAACGGTACTCGCTACCATTTTCACTCGTTGATCTTCTCTTCTTCCTTCCGTCTCTTTCGCGCCCCCCCTCGCCCCATTTCCTCGACAGACGTGTCCTCGTGTCGTCCGCCCTCGCTGACATCAGATCGCGACTCCTTCGACTGCGCTGCGCCCTGCATACCTTCTTCTTCACCGGCCCGTCCCCAAGATCTCGAGCCCGACTTGCCCGACTTGCCCCCGACCAGCTGCATCTTCCCCGTCAACCATGCACGCTGACGTTCGGTTCCCGCGCCTACTGGCCCTCTTGGCCCTCGCCGTGCACCTGGCGAATGCCTTCTACATCCCAGGTATGAAATCCAGGCAATCAGGAGCCGTACCAGTCGAGTAACCCGGTGCCAGGCTGGTCCATCAAGAGCTACGCCGACGGCGAGACCATTCCGCTTTTCGTGAACAAGGTCTACTCGGACAAAACCCAGCTGCAGTACGCCTTTGCCGACCTTCCGTTCGTCTGCCCACCTACTGGCCGCCGCTCTCCCGGCGCCAGCGGCGCCACCCTGTCCCTGAATCTCGGCGAAATTCTCCGCGGCGATCGCATAATCTTATCCGACTATGAGCTAGTCATGGGCGTGGACGACGAGGCGAGATACTTGTGTACTACCACGGTGGACAGGCGTGGCCTGGAAAAAGCAAAGGAGATCGTCAAGGACGGCTATGTCGCCGAGTGGATCGTGGACAACATGCCCGGTGCGACGAGCTTCGTCACGACGGACAAGTTGCGCAAGTACTACGCCGCTGGCTTCAAGATGGGCTACGAGGATTTCGACCCCGCCACTGGCAAGCCGCGCTTCTACATCAACAACCACGTTACCCTCGTTATACGCCATCGCCCCGCCCCTGGACGCGACGGCGAGCATGGAAAGAAGGTCATCGTTGGCTTCGAAGTCTACACCAAGAGCATTGAGGCCGGCCACCGCGACAAGAACGGAATTCCCAAGGATCTCCACAATACCGAGCAAGGGCTCGAGCTGCGCATACAGCCGAACATGACCGACCTGCAGACGAGATACGCCGACTCGTCGTACATTCCAGACGAGGAAAACATCGATGATGATGCCACGTTGACAATCCCTTACACCTACTCGGTCTACTTCCGCGAGGACGACCACGTGGAATGGCAGAACCGGTGGGACATGTACTTTGTGAATCAGGAGGACAGCTCCAAGATTCATTGGATTGCCATCATCAACTCTCTTCTGATTTCGGCGATTTTGACGGCTACGGTTGCTGTCATCTTCACCAGGACGGTTCGTGGCGACATCAAGGGTACGAGTGACATCGAGAAACCCAAGATTCCGCGTCCGAGGAACCCCAAATCTCCCAGGAAGAGCGCTGAGAAAGGTGGCCTTTTGGAGCAACTGGATGACGATGGCGACGCTGACGTCTCGTCGGATGAGGAGGCGCTGGAGGATATCACGGGTTGGAAACTTCTCCATGGCGATGTCTTCCGCGCCCCGGCATATGGGGGATTGCTGGCTCCTCTCGTTGGCTCTGGTTCGCAGTTGGTGTTTGTGGTGACGGGTCTGCTCATTCTGAGCGCCGTCGGCGTCCTTAACCCGAGTTTCCGTGGCGGCTTCATCAGCGTCGGCCTCGCGCTCTTCATACTGGCTGGCATATTTTCTGGCTACTTCTCTGCGCGAGTCTACAAGACCTTTGGCGGGCAACGCTGGCAGAAGAACGTGATAGTGGTGAGTACCATCGCACTTTTGGCATGTCGATTTCCTAACAACAACAGACTGGCACACTTATTCCGGGCCTCATCTTCGCTACCATCTTTATCCTTAATCTCTTCGTGTGGGCGCAAGCGTCAAGCACTGCCATTCCCTTCGGCACATTGGTCGCATTGCTGGTCTTGTGGCTGCTCGTTCAGCTTCCGCTCGTTTACGTCGGCAGCTGGTATGGTTTCGAGAAGGTCGGCGCATGGACCCATCCGGTGAAGCCGAACACGATTCCCCGCCAGATCCCCGCTCAGCCCTGGTATACGAAGGGCATCCAGTTTTTCCTCCTCGCTGGTTTGCTCCCGTTCGCCGTTATCTTCATCGAGCTTCTCTTCGTTTTCAAGAGCCTATGGCAAGACAAGAGCGGGTACTACTACGTCTTTGGATTCCTGGCCGCCGTTTGCCTTATTCTATTCATCACTGTCATTGAGGTGACCATAATCGCAACTTACAACCAGTTGTGCTCAGAGGTAAGCCTCCGGTGCTGTCTTGCGGTAGCAGATACTCATACTTTGCAGAACTACCACTGGTGGTGGCAATCTTTCTTCGTGGGCGGCGGCTCGGCTCTTTGGGTTTTCCTGGCCTGCACGTGGTACTATTTCTTCAAGCTTCGTATCACGGGATTCGTTTCCAGCATGCTCTTCTTCTCCTACAGCTTCCTTGCTTGTCTGGTATACGGTCTTCTCACGGGTACTATCGGCTTCCTTGCTGCGTACGCTTTCGTGCGTAGAATCTACGGGTGAGGCATTCCAAATTTGCGCAGAAGACTTTGTCACAAGCTAACTTTACAATGACGTATAGAGCGATCAAGGCCGACTAAGTTTGTGCGTAGCTAGCAGGCAAGCTTCCGCGAGCAAGTTGCAGAATCCATTTCCCTCGCATGCATCCTTTCGGATAGCCATTGTCTCTCATTGTCTCTCTCCATTTTACCTAGGGTGGGAGCCATTCAGGAGTCGGCAACGATGGCAAGGAGTTTCTGGGTAACGAGTTAATGTGGCGGACCAGCTGAGATAAGCGGATCGGATGTCTTTGTCGCTCCCTTCTGCTCTGAGAGTTATTGAGTCTTTCAGCGAGTTTGTCATCCAAGCATCCAGCATACGCTACGGTCATCTGAGAAAATGAGTTCCATACAGTTCTTTGATAAGGCTTATTACCGTCGCTTGTATATACTCTCCTGAGCCTGGATAAATAATACAGACGGTTTGTGTAGAAGCGAGGTTTGCAGCGGCAAAAATGTGCGTGACAAAGGCGATGGTGCTCTGCACCGTGAACGGCGGTTTGAAGAGAGGCAGGACAATGATTTGGTTTCCTAGAGAAAGCATGGGTATCTTCTGGTCTTTTTTCTAACAAAGGAAGCGCAAGGATTACAATAAATAACCACTCATTGCAAGTCCTTTATTGCTAACAGCCGAAAGCGTCACCCATGTAGCGTATGGCACAAGCAACAAAGAAAACGACCAACCTCAGCAACAATGTCATATCCTCCTCGAAGAACTGCACACTCACGCTTGACTCTGCAAAATTCTCGCCAGCACTCAACAACGTTTTGGTCATGGCAGGTCGCAAGCCCCCAGTCCTCGAGCCGAACCCAGCGGTTGTAACCTGGCAAGGGCCATTTCAATACGAAGGCTTGGACCTATGGCGGCAGGCACTGCGACGCGAGTACGATCGACAAATAGCAGCTCAGCCCAACGAGGTTCCCGAAAGATGGGTGAGGATTGCGCAGAATAAACCAGACGAAGGTAATATAAAAAAAAAAAGAATCCGGTCCCCGTTGCGCTCGAAGCTCTTTCGCTGACTCTTCGTGACAAAACAGCCGCGCGGAATCGGTATTTCAACGACTTTTACTCCGACTTGCCTTCGCCGGTCCGGAGGGCTTGGGAACGCGAGTCCCACACTCGGTGGCCGCGGCGGTGGACCCAAGGACCGGCGGGCTATCTGGACGTTTACGCCAACGAGGATGAGATATACTATACGAGGAAGGCGGGGAGGTGGAGCATGGGTGAAAGTGAGTATTCCCCCTTGTACGCGCGCGCGCCCGGTCGTCGTGGGGCGAGTATCAGCAAACCAAGAATATGTTCTCCCCTGACAGTGAGCAACGCAAAAAAAATACAGGTCAGATCAGGGACATGTATGACGCAGACTTTAAAACCCTGTCTCCGGGCGCTCAGTCCCAGTTTCGGGATCGGGCTGATGCGATCACGGACGCGCGTGGTCTCGTCCTCCCGCCGGGCAGAAACCTCAAGAAACCGGTCCGGGGTGTCCCTGCGAATGGCCCTGTGCAGAGCCGCGACGTGCAGAGAGAGGATTTGGAGACGATGGATCCACAGATGCTGGGTATGCTCTATCAGGGTCATGAATGGGCCATTGCCGCGAGCTTTGGCGGAAACGGCAGTTTCGGTGAAGCTATCGTATGGCGTGTGACGGACCAGTACGGGAGGACACTAAAGGTTGGTCACGCCTTATTCGACTGTGTGAGCTTTGCTTTTGCTCTTGGGATATCGACTAATCTCGAGGTTGTACAGAAAATATTCCTCAAGCGAGACAGAATCAGGGATGATTGGACGTCTAACAAGGAGCGTTGGTTGCTATGGCATATGGCGGTCAATTTTTACAACCAAGTCCCGAACCATCTTGGAGGATTAAGCCCCTATGTCCCGGTTTTTCTTGGAGGAAGGAATGGTACTGCCACTGCCGTCGGTAGAACGTGGCTCGAATATGCAATCTACGGGGACTTGGGAGGCCTCATGGAGTACTACATTGACAACGAGTACGTCGGCTTCAAACGTATCCACTTCCTGTCATGACTAACAACCCTCCCCACAGCCTCGTCATCCCCGAGCCTTTCGCCTGGTACCTCCTCCACTGCATGGCCAAGGCGCTCTTCTACCTCGAGAGGGGCCACCAAGACCGCAACACGCCGCAGGGATGGAGACCAATGTTCCATTACGACATCAAGCCCCAGAACATCCTGCTCGACGTTCCCCAGTCGGACGGTCCCGAGTGGTGCCGCGGCTACCCCCGGCCCATACTTGCAGACTTCGGCGGCGCGGACTTGTACCCAAATCCCAACTCACCAGACCAGATTCCACAACATGTGCGCGGCTCCGGAACCCCAAGGTTCAGTTCCTTTGTAAGTTGACGCATCACCACAAGCGCTCCCCCCTCCCTCTCTTTCTCCCCCCCTCTCCACAAAAACCACCCCCCACTAACCTCCCCCTCCCCCCAGGAAATGTTCGGCCCCTGGCACCAAACCACCTCCAACATCGAACGCGCCACGGGCCCGCACCGCCGCAGCCGGCGCCGCCACAGCCCCGTCGCGCCCGAACACCCAAACATCTCGATCCCCTCCCCCCTCCCGCCCCGCGCGACGCCCTACAAGCAGGACCCCCTCCCGACCGACAACCCCGTCCGGCTGCACTCGTCCATCCACTCGCTCGGCATCGCGCTCTGGTGCGTGCTCGCGCTCACGCACAGCCCGGCGGGGCAGCTCTTCGCGTGGCGCGGCGCGGGGCACGGCGGCCGCGACACGCGCATCAAGCCGAACGCGTACCCCGCGTGGTGGGACCGGCTGCCGGGGCATGCGGCGCGGCGGCCGTGGCCGTGGCGGGTGGCGAAGAGGGCGGAGCGGGAGAAGTGGGCGGGGTTGGTGGAGAGGGGGTGGGCGTGGGGCCAGGAGGTGAGGTTGAGGGGTGGGAGGAAGAGGTTGAGGCCGGTGCCGAGGGTGCTGGATGAGTTGGGGAAGAGGCCGAGGGAGTGGGTGGGTGGCGGGAGCGGGGTCGCTGCGTGGGCGCCGTATGGGGTCGAGGGGCAGTTGAGGCCCGGGTATAGTGCGAGGTTGGTGGAGTTGGGTGAGTGGTGTTTTTCCCTCTTTCTTTGTTTCTTTTCCCCGTCGGTTTTTAGAGAGGAAGTGCCGGGCTGACGGGGTGGGGCGGTGCAGTTTACAAGTGCATGAGTCCGCGCGTGGAGGATAGGCCGACGCCGGCGCAACTTTGGGACGAGACGGAGCGGGCGATGAACGATATTACGGCAAAGTATCCTGATGGGAGCGGGAGGCGTCCTCAAGGCTTGCTGATGCAGCCAGACAAGGTATGTGTTCCGTTTTCAATCCTCTCCTTTTCGCGCTGTTGTCGGCGGTGATGTGGCAACGAATGTCGAGTTCTGCGAGAGTAAGCAAGAGTCGTATGCTGATGGGTTGAACTGCAGTTCCCTATCGGATATAACGTTTTGAACTCGGTTTGGTCGCAACCAGCTCCAGATGAACAGTTATTTTAGAGTACGTCGGGATGTCTTCGAATTGTGTCTGGAAACGAGTGCTGGGATTATGCGGTTGGTTATACAGGCGAATGGAATAATAACATTTCTGGCTCATTGAGAAAAACCTGGCTGAAATGGGTCAAGATGGAAACGACGTTCCCCGATGACGTCGCTCAGAGATGAAAAAAGTTGCTATTGGTTGGATAGGCTACGCTTACCGCATTAGGTGGTATGTATGTACATACATACGTACAAGGGTCAGCTTTCACCTCTATCATCACCGACCGCTGCGCTTCACATATCCGTGCCGCCAAGGTACTATTTTGAAATGCCCAAGCAATGTTAGTGCTGTGGTCCTTTCCACCCTGGAGCGCTCGACTGTCGCAATCGACCATTGGGAGACCGCTGGACCCGCCTGGCCCAATGACGACTCGGCCCGTTTAGCAACCCTGTGGGGAACCCATGGCATGACCACCCACCTGCTTAGGTTCCGGGGGTTTGATTGGTCCGTCCGCCGTATATGCAAACCGATCCTGCGCGGCCATACCTGTCCCCGCATTCTATACCACGTTCGCATGGCGATTGAAGCCAAGTGCTTACCTGTCATGCTTAGTCACCTGGGGGGCGTTGTCTGCATAGCATTGGCAGCCTTTGCGGCTAGCCTAGAGCCGCAGTGGAGGAGAGACAGGTGGGGGGAGGGGAAGTGAGGGGAGGCCTTGAACGAAGGATGATCTGTTACAATAAAATGGAGCCCGAACAGCTGATTTCCTTGTTTATAAGAAAGCCATTGACGTCCGATATCGACAAGGTTTCGTCTGCCGTCAACACACTTCCAATTGCTCCCGCCCTCGCAGACTGTCAAAAACAACAGACACACCACGTCCTCGTCTCCCCAATCTACACCACACTTCACACTACCATCCAACAATGGCCAGCCCGCCTCCGCCTCCGCCCCCGTCCTCCGACGACCCCGTCGCCATCGTAACTGGCGCCACGGTAAGCAAGCAAGCAAAAAACAACCAACCCAGCCCAGCCCAGCCCAGCCCAGCCCAGCCCAGCTCCATCCCCACCCCAATCCCCTCCTCCCCTCCTCTCCTCCCCACCCCAATCCCCTCCCCTCCTCCCCTCCTCCCCTCCTCCCCCCCTACCCAACCAACCCCCAACTAACCCACCCCACCCCAAACCACCAGTCCGGCATCGGCCTCGCCCTCGCCCGCACCCTCCTCACGCCCCGGCACGGGCACACCACCCACCGCGTCGCCCTCGTCGGGCGCCGGACCGACGTCGGGACCGCGCTCGCCCGCTCGCTCGACCCCAGCGGCGGGACGCGCGCGCGCTTCTTCGCCGCCGACGTGGCGTCGTACGCGTCGCAGGCGGCCATGTTCCGGGCGGTGCGGGAAGCGTTCGGGCGGGTGGACGTGCTGGTGGCGAATGCGGGGGAGACGGATCGGGGGAGCGTGTATGGGTTGCTGGATGGGGAAGAGGATGCCCAGGAGGGTGAGGATGGTGGGGAGGTGGTGGTGCCGCCGGAGCCGGATCTGGGGGCGACGGATGTGTGTTATAAGGGGGTTGTGTATGGGGTTTTGTTGGCGGCGAGGTTCATGCGGGGGAATGATGCGGGAGAAGGCGGGGTGAGGGGGCGGGTGGTGGTGACGGGGAGTGTGGGCGCGTTTCATCCGCATCCGGTGGTGCCAGAGTACTGCGGGGCGAAGGCGGCGGTGGTGGCGTTCGTGAGGGGCGTGGCGGGCGTGATGTGGGCGAAGCACCGGGTCGTGGTCAACGTGGTGCATCCGGGCTTGGTGAGCACGCCGATTGTGCCCGAGGAGATGATTAGGGCGGTGCCCGAGGGGTGGTGGGTGGTCCCCGTTTTCTTTGCATTCTTTTCGTTTTCTTTTTTTTTTACCCGGGAGGGGAGGGAGTGGTGCTGGATGGTTGGGCTGATGATCACGGACTGACTGACTTTTGGTGCGCAGTCCTACCCCCATGGAAACCGTCCTGGAGGGCTTCCGCATATACCTTGAGGATGAGACGGGCCGGACGGGTGAGCAGATGGAAGCGTCCGGCACGAACATCGTCTACTATGACCGCCCCGCCTACGCCAACGGCATCGCCACTGAGGGGGCCACGACCGTGTGGGAGCCGTGGTTCGTCATGGGCCACGGCGAGGAGTCGGGGCTGTCGGGTACGTATCGATAGGTGAAGGTTTTGGGAAGAAGTTGGGAGAGGAAATAAATCGCAGGTGGGGAATCTTGGTAGGAGAGGACGGGGGGTGTGATTGAATGGAAGGGGAAAGAACTGGTCAAGGTATAGGGGGAAAAATGACCGGAAGCGCTTTTGTCTGCTGTGTCAACATAGAGAAGGGGTTAGCTTGACCGTGTAAGAAATTGAAAGCTTCTGGGACATCGAGACGTTGGGGCGAAGCCACGGTGGGTGAGGAAAGAGGTTACCCCCCTACATCTATCTCACGTAGGTAGTGGAATCCAATATCTGGCTGAATTTGTACCTTTCTAATACCCACATCTACATCTGGATATCTGCTTCAGCAACTCATGTAAAGAGGTCGTTTTAATCCACATCTTCGTTAGGGGGATACTTGACTCAACTGTCCACACCTTTGGAGCATCGCCGTAGATGGAACAGCAGTATCTTGAAGCCATCGCCACGCGTTCTTACGGACGAAGAGGAGGATACAGAGTCTGGCCTTCACACCCCGACCCCAGCCCAGCTCACTTCACCTCATCGGCGTAGCGGCTTCCTCCACACCCACACTCCGCTGCCCAGCTGCCACCGCCACCGCCACCACCGCCGACGCCGACGCCGACGCCGATGCCGATGCCCCTTGCATCTCCTCATACCGCTCGTTAAAAAACTCGTTCACATCGAAATATTCGTCATCGCCATCACCATCACCATTCGCCCAGCTGCCAGCGAAATCCGTTGACGAGTAGTCCTGTGGCTGTTGCTGCTGTGGGATCAGCGCTATCATGTCGTCGTCTGAGCCCCAGTTCGGATAGTTGTTTGCAGCAGCAGCAGCAGCAGCAGCAGTAGTAGTAGTAGCAGTAACAATAGCAGCATGGCTGGTGTCGTTGCAAGGGATGCTGTTGCTGTGGTCCATGGAGGAGATGGCTGGATGGGTGCGACCGTGGTAGTGTTTCGATGGGTCAGCGAGGAGAGGACGTTGCGCACGGGTTTGCGACGGTGACGACGACGACCCGAACGATGACTTCATCTCTGCAGAGTAGTAGCCCGAATCGATGGTGGCTGTCCCGACAGGTACCTGGGGAGGAGGAAGAGGGAGATGGTTGACGTGGTCCTCGGGCTGGTGGTACGTTGCTGTGGGGGTGTAGTTGTTGGCGGAAAAGGAGCCGCCCCGTAGCTTGTGCTGCGCCGTGTTCGCGGCCTGGAATCCGGTGTATGATCCGCCCGCCGCTGTCGAGCTTGCGACCGCTGGATAAGGCCGCTGGGTAACGGGCGTGGATGAAGACGATGTTGATGTATTTACTCGCACGTCGTCTTCGAGGGTAGTGCAGAATCCGTTTTCCTTCATGACATCGCGCATAAGTCCGGAGAGCATATCGATTAGTTCGTCCACGCCGGGCTTGTCATCAAGGCCCCGGCGAGCCATCACTTCGGCACAGCGTTCCTGGAATTTCTCAGGTAACGTCGCATACTGCAGCGCCTGGAAGCTGGCGAGCTGGCCATTTTCCATGGCAGACGCATCTTCGTCGTCGAGATCTGAGGGTGTGGGTCAGTGACATGACTGTAACGACGTTACGATTTCTGCCGTCGGTGGGGCATGCGTACATGGTGAAGGGATGATTCCTTGTAACACCATGTCCGGAAAGAGTACACGCCAGAAGGCTGTCCATTTCTCCGCTTCGGACGAATTCCGTTTGGATCTCTTCTTAAAGGTCTCGTCTTCCTCGGGGCCAAACATCATCTCATGTACAGGCATTTTGCTTCGAGACTGCTTAAGTGAGTGCGTCCTGAAGAGATGTTCCCTTGGGACAAAATGGTATATTAGCGGAACATCCGTAAAGCCGAGTCCATTCTGGTGCAGCTTACTTCACTCTAGTTGAACTTGGAAACCCATGCGAGCAGGTGCTGGAGGGCAACCTTTGCCGTGGAAACCTTTTGTGATACGGGCAGGCAAAGTCCTTCTTGACCTCGGTGCCGGCGAGTGTGGAACAATGGCGCTTGGCGCCTCCTTCGATGGCGTCACCTTGTGGGACGGAGGCGGACCTTTCGCGTCGTTTGCCTTGGACTGACGTTGAAGTCTGTTCACATTGCTCCAAATTATAAGTGTGATTCCGGGCTTCTTTTGCATAGAGTGGGAACGGGTCCTCTTCTGGTCCGCCTAGCATGTACCTCCGAAGAGCGTTGGAAGTCGGGCCGGCATGGCGTTGTAGGCCAGGATCGTGCCTGTCGACGGTGGGACTGGGGGTCTAAGATTGATTATCAATGAGCCCGTCACATTAAGCTGGCCAGAAGGCGTACCGCAACAGCAGATGCTTGAAAGACTTGAAGGTTACGTTGTGACAGCTGTCTGTTTCGCCGGCGCTCGCCGTCTCCTCCTCCTTCCCCAATCGGATGTAGTGGCCGCGAGTGGGGGCGGTCCATGGGGCGGAAGCTTGATCATCCGGATTCAAGCCTTCAGCCTCACGAGCTCTACCCCTTGATACGGATCCTCGCTGCGCAGGCTTTGAAAATGATGTCGGCGGCCAGTGTGCTCTTGGGCGAAGCAAGATGGAAAATTGTGAGTGTACAGACGACGATTGGGGGGAAGTGGAGGGGTTCATATGCTGATTCGGGATGGCCGTGGCTGTGCGGGGCCTGTAGCACGCATCCGCGAAGAACACTAAGTACTTAGGATATGTCAGCCACAGCCACAGCCCAGGATGACGACCCATCGCGACAACCTTACATAAGCAAGCGAAAGCCGATTGTTTTTCAGGGAGTTGCGCAAGCATTTACCTCTCCATCAACCATTCTACAGGGGAACTTGCGCTCTTTAAACGTAGAATGCCAAGGCAATAGACATGTTTCGACGCGCACCAAAAAAAATCAAGTTTCATAAACGAACAATCTTACGGAAATGAATTCCAGGGATTGGGTGTAGTCACTGCTGTTGTGGAAAAAATGTTGTTACGAAAATATGAGCTGTTGCTTCACGAAGAAGGGCTGAAAGCACCCTGCACCGAGCCATACCTGCGTCTGAAGTTAGCGGCAACACCACAAAAGCATTCAACAGCAACAAACTGACCCCTGCAGACATTGACTGCCAAGTGCCACACTGCCACTTCTCATGTAACAAATCTTCGCTTCAGCGCACGCGTCGTTCGTGCAGTTCGGGGTCATCACGCTCCCCTTACCCTGATACGTGTTGAAAATGCTAACAAGCGTATGATTCTTTTCCATCGCTTCCGTCACGCGGTGCCAGAAGGTAGCGTTGAGCGGGGCCTCGACGGGCCAGTCGGCAGCAGGGCCGTAAGTGTCCCTGGTCGAATACTCCAGACTATACGTCGGCCCCGTGCTGCTCAAGTCCGGGAAGACTGAGACGTTCGCCACGAAAGTCCAGGCGTCCATGACGTCGAAGGTGCCGGTGTCCACTTCGTACAGCCGGAAGCCGGAGTTGACATTTGTGAGGGGTGTGACAGAAGGCCCGATCCAGCCGGACATGAGAGCATGGTTGGCGTCGCGCACGGTGCCGTTGTTGGCGTAGTAGATCATGAATTGGTCCTCGTGGGTGTGGCCCCAGAAAACGTTGGCGATGACGTGAGGGCTGTAGCGGTCGACGATCTGGTAGAACAGGTCTGTCGGGTTCGGGAGAGGATTCGTGCCGTCCCAGCCCGAGAGGACGTGGCCCATGATCCACGCGCGCTCACCTGCATCCTCGGCGGCTTGGAGCTCGTTGATCATCCACTTGAACATGCCAGAGTTGTCGGGGTCGGTGGTGTTGATAAATGCCAGGAAGTTCGACTTGTACCAGAAATCAGTGTTGAAGGTAATGATACGCAGGCCGTAGTGATTCTTGATGCTGTAGGCGCCATAATGCAGGCGTGCTTCAGCGGCTCCGTCGGGGCCAATCCAACCCTCGTGCTGCCACAGAGCCGCAACATGGTCATAGTTCCACGACTGCTGCTGGCCGAGCGGACCGGGAAGGCGGTGAGGAGAGTCGATGGCTTCCGGGTTGCTGTCATGATTTCCCAGCGCGGCAAAGACTGGGCCGGTTAAGTACTTCTTGAACATGGTGTAGACGCTCGTCTCGGTGTATTCAACATAAGCCCGGGAGAGCTGGCTCTGCGGGTCATGTGAAACGAGATCGCCCGTGTATACTGTCCAGCCCAAGGGGGCTTCTTTACAGGTGCCTGTCAGCGGACCAACAGCTTGCAGGGCAGCGAGACTGAGGTCGTATGGTGTATCGCACTCGTAAGCTCCAAAGAGAGGAGCAGGGAATGAGATTTGGCCGGAACCGAGGGCTGAGTTCTCTACGTTGGATCGGCAACACATGCTCGCAGAACAATTGGCCTCAGATGCGGCAGAATAGCGCGGATCGAGATGGATGTCTGACATGTGCAACACCTTGACCCTGTTCCCGCTGGGCTTGGGCGCGGTAGCATCAGCAGGCTTTGGCTTCGGAAACAGCGTGGCCATGTCTAAGGGGGCAGTGTTCTGCTTGGGACAGAAAGCCTTACTCAACGAGTTGCAGATGTAGTTGGCGTCGAATCCGTCCAGGTCTGCGAATCTCAATACCTGGGTCCAGATGGAGCCGAATGTGTTGGTGGCGAAGTCTTCCTCGCACTTGGTGTTCGAATGGAGTTGGTATTGCTTGCAAAGATCAACCATGGCATCAGGAAGTTTGGAAGGAGCGTAGAGTGCAGCTGGTTTGGCAAGTTGCAGTGCGGTGATGCATTTCGAGCAGTTGCTTTCCGGACCACCACCATCGATGATGGCGGAGACGTTTGCCACGATGGCATTGAAAAGAGCTTCGACAGCATCGGAAGTCAGATTCGCAATGGGCTCCGGGAAAACAACAGGATCGAGGGCTGCGCCAGGAATTGTGTCGGGATGGGTGAGGTTGAGAGGAAAGGTGATGTTGAGAACTGGATCATGGAGTGCGGGCTGAGGTTCCTGAGTGGTCGATGGTGGCAGGTAATAAGAAGAGAAGGCAGAGGTGGGAAATCCAGCCGATGCTACGTAGGACGGGAGACCTGGGGCCGAGGGCATGATAGAAGCTGCAGAGCGCAGAACAAAAGGAATCATGGTGTCGTGCGTCGAGGCAGCTTGCAAAGAGCGTTCCAGGCGGCTGACCAAGCCAGCGAGGGCGCACCCTCCCGCTTTTGTAGCATTCTGGATGCGCCTTCTGTGGTACAGTACGTGACGTTGCAGTGAGGGGGAGATGGCGAATGTTGTGGTACCGTACTCGCACGTGTTCGCTTGCCGAGTGCGAGACTCCGCACCCGGCGCACCTGGCGAATCTGCCTGCTGCTTCCCGCTTCCCTGGGGTCAATTCCTAGCCCAGCTTATCGTCCGGACCATGTCAACACATGTCTATGCCGTGACTCCCCCAGTCCATGCTGATCGCACTCTTGATCTATGCTGATCGCACTCTTGATCTATCATTTCTCCAGGCTTTTTCTTTTTCCACGACCCCCACTGTTCTTGTCGTGATTGAGGCCCAAAGCTTGTAGAGGCTCAAGGCTCGTGCGAATCCGAAGCGCGAAACACCGAGGACCCGCTCAACCCGAAAGAAGCCATCACCGATGAAGTGAACCGCCTCGTCTACTCCCCAGCCATCTTTTACACAGCAGTCTTGTAAGAGGTGTTGGCAAGCTTCTTGCCCAGCCCTGGCAACAGGAACTGGCGCCGCTCATTGGTTAGTCCAGCTTAGCGGCTTAACGGCAAGAGCGGGGACCCATGTAGAGCTTTCACGCTCAGCGGTGGAAGCTCGCAAGTCTAGCATAGAGCCGGACTTAGGAACGTCCATGTCCAAACCCCGCTTGAACACTTGCCGAGTAATAACATCATTAGTTGAGACATCAACACAAAAACCATTCGGGCTTCCCGTCAGTTGGGCCCAGAAGTCGCTAAGTGAGCACAAACACACACACACACACACACACACACACACACACACACACACACACACACACACAC